AATCAGAGAGTGAATGTTTAATAAAAATCCGCAATATTTATATGTATAAATATACTGTTATATGAATGTTGAAATGCGGAAATTAAAAACAAAAAGGATTTTAAGACCCTGTGCCCCAACAAGGACTGGTGTGCTAAATTTGTTGACGAGGATGACTCAATAACCCATCTTAAGTGAATCAAAGGATATGGCGGTACGGCTTTCATATGGGATAAGTCTTTGTCCCCAATCATTAGAAGTCTACCTAATGGATGTCACCGAGTCTCAGCCATAAAGATTGAGTGCACATTAAAACCTCCTTGTATCATCAACGCATACCTCCCAAGCAGAAATAACGGCAATTGCAAGACACAGCTGGATGCCCTTGGCGTTCTATGAGAAGTCCTTATGAAATACCGACATTCCCATACTATCATTATAAGAGGAGACATGAATGCATCTTTATGCATAGTTCATACAGAGCTACAACGACTAAGAAATAAAACAAAATCCTAAAGGCAAAAAGGCTCACTACACCAAACAACTATCCCACCTCCCCAACTTTTTACCATCATGACGGGAAGGTGCAATCTCAGACTACTTTTTTATCCCAGTAGAACAAAAAAGAAACATCCATCTCAGATGTTAAAAACCACGGGCTGCAACTCCTCGATCACACTTTGATTACAGGAAGAATAAAAGTATAGCTTCGGAACAAATCCCTAAAGGCAATACAGACAAAAGTCACCAACAAAAAGCCAAGATGGGATAAATGAGACAAAACCACCTATCACAGTACTATCAACGAACTGCTAAACGCGTTGGCACCCCCTACATGCAATTTTGATATATCCCTAATATATACCGTATATGATTTACATCCCTAAAGGTCATCCATTTGACAAACTTGCTACAAGAAGCAGGCAGAAACTCCATACCAAAATATGTGATCTGTAATGGATTAAAGAGGAAATCCAAAGGCCGCATTCCATGGAACAATGAAATTGGAGAAGCCGCAAAAATATTTTTAAAAAAGCATTCTTTAAATGGAAAAATAAGATATCACCTCAGGAACCTTCAAACATCTCGCTCAAAAACATGAAACTTACAAAGAAAGAACTACGCAGAAAACAAAGACAAGCCCATGCTAAAATTCGAGACCATAAATACTCAAAAATCATGCACGCCCAGGAATTCGACCAGAAGCTCTTCTACAAGCTGATTAGAGAGCAGCGCGCGTCAAACAACCAAGATACAGAAATTCTGATACTTGATAACAACGAACTTGCCAGTAAGGAAGACATACTGAATGGCTGGAAAATACATTTTGAAAGGCTTGTTACCCCACAAGACAGTACCAACTCAGATCAACAGAACAACAACCTAGTGACACTAAACTGTCAACTCATAGAGGAACTGATAAAGCTAAGTACCAGCTCAGAAGAATCACAAAAGATCAGTGAAAAGACCTTCAGAAAAGCCATCAGTTCACTGGCCAACGGCAAGGCTCCTGACCAACTGGGCATAGCAGCCGAACATCTGGAAAATGGCGGAGTACAACAGGTAAGCTATATAACAAATCTGATCAACGACATAATCCAGCTACAGCATATCCCAGAAATTCTGCAGACTGGATTACTCACACCTATCATCAAGAAGAACAAAGACCCAATACTACCCGGCTACTACAGAGGTGTAACGGTGACACCAGTTATTAACAAGTTACTTGAATGTATTCTGCAAAGTCAGGTGGATAACATCTTAGATCCCACACAAAATAAACTCCAAAGAGGCTTTACCAAGAAAACGAACCCGCTAAATGCTGTTACTAATATCAGAAGGAATCAAGGAATCTCAGGATGCTGGAAAGCCTGTTGCCGTTTTAACCCTAGATGCCGAAAAAGCCTTCGATAAAATCGACCATCAACATCTACTAAGAAAATCGACCATAGTGGCATTGAACTCAGCAATTGGCTACTGATAAAATCCTTACAGACAGAAGACCTGACAAAGGTAAAGTGGAAGGGAAACCTGAGCCCAGCCTTTGAATACCAACAGGGAATAAGGCAATGTGTCAGATTGTCGCCTAGTCTTTATAACAATCAGATGCTAGACATACGAGCGACACTGGGCAGGGGCCCGTATAGTTACAACCTTCATAAGAGCCCTAACAGTAGCGGACGACGAGGCCATCATTGAAGAAAACCCAGTTGACCTACAATGTGCCCTGCACATTGTCCATAACTGCAATCAAGCTGACTGAGTGACCATCAACTCATCAATGAGCGACGCAGTAATCTTTAATGCCTCTAAAAAACAAAAAAGACAAACGAGCTTGGAAACTAGGTACAGACCAAATACATGAGATAGAAAAACACCCATAGAGGCCTAACCCGGCAAAAAGACAACAAAAACGCAGTAGAAGAGAGAATACAAAAAGGAAGACGAATACTTTACGCCCTTCTGGGATCTGGTCTTCATGGGAAGAATGGCCTGAACCTGACAGTTTCCTTTAAATTTTACACTTTACACCAAGTTCTGCAGACCCAGAATCAGCTACGGTCTGGAAGTCACCAATCTATCAAGTATGGAGAGGACAGAACCCGAAAAAATTGAAATCAAGATGCTAAAAAATATCCAGGTCTACCAGATTGATGTGGAAACATCGCGACGTATATACTACTTGGAGCCATGCCTATTACATCCCATACCGAAAAAAAGCCATCACTGTCTTCAACAGCATTGCCTCCAATCCTGACTTCATCGAACACGAAATTGCCAGCAGACAGCTCTCAATTGAAGACGAAAGTAGCCATAGCTGGTTCGTCTACATTAGATTCTTACTACAGAAGTATAACCTTCCACATGCCTACGAGATTATGAAAGACCCGCCGACCAAAGCTGTATGGAAGAACACAGTGGAAAAAGCATTTGATTCCTACTAATAGCGTGCGGTTTTTGGAGAGGTAGAAAGAAGACAAACCATCACTAAGAATTCTTCACATCCAGAGTACACCACGTATCATCAGGGACAGCGCCTGTAGTAATCCTCGTGCAGTACTAAAAGCTTCCATCAAAGCCCGCTTTGCCTCGCCCAATACGGATTTCCATTTCACACCCTGTATGACTCCGTATTATGTCCCTAAATGACTGTGTAACTAATAATATTTCTAAACATTTTAAAGTGCAAATAGCAAATATATTGCAGGAATACCCTAGAAATATTCCACTACATTAATTAATCTCCCAACTGATATGGTACGCAAGGACATTCAATCTTTAACGAGACAGACTACCGATGAATAAGTTGATATTACAGGACTTTCAACAATCTAATTATGCTTTGCAATATATATGGTCGTCATAATGACCTTGTTTGCAAATATAACCTACCCTTTGGTGTTTCATAAAATTGTTCGGCCATTGTTTGTACACTAAATTTAGAGTACACTCCTCCTTGTTCATGATTTTTATTGTTTACAGAATTTATGAGATTGATCACTTTGCATTATATGACTTTATATGATTATATTCCTTGTTCATGTGGTAAATAAAATTCTTCAATACAGCTCAAGCAGTGAGGTATAAAGAGCGACAACTCATGGGTTTTTTTTAATTTGTTGGAAAGCCCAAAGAACTTACAAGAATAGCAAGGCTTAAACAGACTGAGAGTGATTAGCATGTGTAAATATAATTGATTTAATGCAAATTCCTGCTTAATTTAAATTTTCTCCTTGAAAGTCCCAAAGATGAACTCAATCAGAATTTCAGATCGATTAACATGTGTAAATGCAAATAACTTTAACGCAAATTGTTGACTGTAAAATTTAAGATTTTCACCTTGTTTTCTTTCCCATAATTTGATATTATACGTTTATTACAGCATTGCTTCTCAAATACGTAATAATGGAATTCTCGAGTGCACCGGGTAGGAACAAAAGTTATCAGCAGCATTTGATCATAAAAATGCACCTTTAATTTTTCTCAACAAAAAAATCGTGATTATAAAGTGTTTTTCGGGAACCATAGCGCTGTATGTACAGCAAGAATTATTTCCCTCTTTCTTCTCGCCCAGCCATAGCAGAGAAGAGCAGTAAACTATACTTAGGCATGTTTATGTTGAACATATATAAAAATTCAAACTACATATATTTAAAAGGGATCTAAATATCATTGGATATTCTTATCAAATGAATATATCTATTAACACCTTGTAAGTGACTGTACATTCTCCTACAAAATGCCTTACCAGCCGGTAATGATTTTACATTTAATGCAGGTTAACCAATAAGTTATTACAATTCTTTCTTTGTTACTTTTTGACAACACAGTAAATACTTAATCTTAGCCATCAATTCATCAACGTTTTCTTTTGGGGAAGAATGTGTACCTTGCACAGAATCTATATCTACCATTAAAATGACAATCTTGTACAATGACATTTTTGTTTCTTCTGGGACTCCTAAAAATTAATTAAGTTCTTGAAATTGATGCATTAATTCTGTGCATTCACTAGAGTTAGCTGATCCAGCAAATAAGAAATCATTTAAGTAATGTACAGTCCCATCCTTTTGTAACCTCTGTTTCAATTCCCAATGTAAAAAAGATACTGAACATCCCATTGGCAAACACTTGTCAACATAGTTTAAATACCTTAGCAGACAAATTCCTGCAGACTTATTGGTTAAAGCCTAAATGCACCTAGAAATATATATCATTGTCATAAGGGCTCCTTTTCCTTTGGTTTTAATTGCATCACCAAATGAAGCATAGCTGACAGTACATGCTTGCTGGTCTTTGTAATCATTAACACTATCACCATAGGGATGGGACCGGTTGGTAATCATGCGCCATGCACCTTGTTCTTTAGGTGATAATCCTAGTGGATTACATCTTATATTTGATATTGGGGGGGGGGGGGACCTAAAACCCTACATGAGCAAACTTCCATCTGAATCTTTTCTTCTTGTTCACCATACTGGTGAATTGCAGACCCTATTTTTCTATATTCAACCCAAATTCTAGGGCCCTGATAATTTAGCAAAATCTCTTTCTGAAAACTCTTTGCTTATATGTTGGTTACTTCCCTGTAAGGATAATTTATTTATAATTTGTGAAGATTGTTACTGTAGATCACTAAATTTTCGCGACACCTTATTTTCGCGAGATAGTCTTTGACTCTTTATTAGCGATACGTAAATATTCACGAATTGTGGTTATTGCTCTATATAATCTTTAGGAATACTAATACACGAGAATGAAATTTTTGCGAGCACACTGTTTCGCGTAATAACGCGAAAATAAAGTTCTCGCGAATAAAAAAGGGTTTACAGTAATTTTAATTCGAGTATGACTCAGACTCGAGACTGCATTTTGAATATTTATCCTATTTATCTTATATTTAGTACTTTATGGATAGTGTGGACACTGAAATTTATATATTTATCTTATAATTTCATATATGATTGCTGTAAATTTTTAAATTTTATTGTTTTATATAACATGCTTGTACAGCGCCTTAGAGTTTAATATATAGGGCGCTCTATAAATGTTTAATAATAATAATGAATCAACTTCCATAATTGTTTGTGTAGGTCGCATTGCTCGCTGTGGAAATCTTGGGCGGAACCTAGACTGGGGGATTGTTTGACATCGTAATTCTTGAAAGATCTACAATTCAAAGAAGGATGTGATCCATTGCATTTCACAGAAATTTGCAAAAATCTACAACTCTCTTTTTCACATATACCCTGAAAGTTGTAAGAGTAACATTTAAATTGTTTTGGGGAATTATAATTATTGTTTTGTACAATGGACTGCATGCAAAATAAGAGGCCCACGCGTCACAACGCTTACCTGAGTGAATATGGCCCTGTTCTTCTTCAACAGATTTTTTTCCTATATATTATGTAAAAAATTGATCCCTATCTGTGGCCCACCTACCCCCTGGGGGTCATGATTTGAGCAAACTTGAATCTACACTTACTGAGGATGATTCCATATCAATATGACTAACCATAGCTTTGCTGTTCTTGAGAAGAAGATTTTTAAAGATTTTTTCCTAGATATTTCTATGTAAAACATTGATCCACCATTGTAACCCACCCTATCCCCGGTCGTCATGATTTGAACAAACTTGAATCTAAACTACCTGAGGATGCATCCATATCATGATGACTAATCATGGTTTTCTGTTCTAAAGAAGAAGACCTTTAAACTGAAATATGGAGATAACGAACAGTATTCAAGCTCCAAAGTCCATTCAAACAAAACAAAATCAGGAGCAGAGCAAACACGGACCTCTAAAACATCAGAGGTAGGATCAAGTGCCATGGAGGATTGAGCATCCCCTGCCGACTGGTTACACCCGTCGTGTGCTCCTTGTCATGATCGTGAAAAATTCGTAGAAAAATCAGTATGTGAATAATGGCCTAACAATTAGTATGAAAACCATCAGGCAGTCGACTAAATGATGGACTGTATTTGCTGACAAGGTCATTGTTTCGATCATAGATCATAGAACTTGCAAAATGCTGGCTTTAAACGAGACTGTTGAAATTCTTGTTTCATCAATTTGTTTGTCAACAGCTTGCCTCGTTTTAAACATTGTTCGTACGTAGAGCATGCTCTTGCGTATCGAATCAACTGAGAGACAAAAACCCCATATGCAGATGATTAGGGTATATTGCTACATAAGTAAGGGAAGTTGACGATTTAAAAGTTGAAGTCATCAAGTTTATCATAAAGCTTGGTTGTTGGGTTACCATTTACGTCTTTTTTTAGTAAACCAAATATGATACAGATGAGTCAGACTCTGTGGTATCTTTTATTTCAAGCTCATTGGAATATATCGTGTCGACATATGAATGGAAATAACTATTGTTAAGGTATTCAATGTATAACGACCATATTTTGTACCTAATTAATGAATGGTCCATGGTTTTTGATTATGGTAGCAATATGAAGGTGTTATTAAATAAAAATGCTCCACCAGAGGAATTTGCCAAATTTTGATTATTGTCCAATTGAATTTAACATTGAAGTCTACGGGTAGCGCATGTTTTTTAAAGATATTGTAAATAGCAATTTGAATTTGAATCAAATCTCTTGGTGAAAATATGCATAAACTCTCTCTTTATTTAACTATGAAATAAAATGAAACATTTACCGCAGACATTTCGACAAATTAAAAATTTTCTCTTTTCCATCAAGGGCAGATAACTCTTCAAAAACTTTTAAGGAGCAAAATGACCGGGTTCTTACATGTTATCAGTCTTGTGAATTTGGTTCATTTCACTTTTATTGTTATCTAGCATTGCATTTTTAACTAGTTTAAAATCATTCAAAATTGTTCAAAATCCCTTCATTATACATTGAATACCTTAACTGATATTACGTCGTTGATATATGTAAATGTCGAGTTGAAGGCCACAGCAAGAGATTTCTTTTTCTCATGTATAAGATTTTGAATAAACTCTGCTTCATATGAATACAAAAATAGGTCTGCTAACAACGGGGCGCAGTTGGTACCCATGGGAATTCCAACAGATTGTTGAAACTGGTTCTTTGATTAACAATTTGTTCAGGGCAACAAACCGGTACTTATTATTCCATTTTTGTTTTAAATGTCTGAGAGACATAAGCCTCAAGCATCGATACTACGCTCTTGAAGGGTGTGGACCAACAACTTTGACCCTTTGACCTTGACCTTGGACTTTGACCTACTTTTCGAAAACTTTAACCTAGGACACAACTTTTGAAAAGTTGTTGCTAGGGCTTTCATATTTAACATGTTTTTTCCTTGTTACAAGACCTTCATTTGGATACCAACAATTGTAATCCATTGACCTTGGAGTTTGACCTACTTTTGAAACACTTTAACCTTGATCATATCTTTTGAACGATTGGTGCTTCAGCTTTCATATTTCACCTGTATATTTCTTGTGAGAAGGCCTTTCCTTAGGCACCATTAATTTTGACCATTTGACCTTGATGTTTGAATTACTTTTGAAAAACTTCAACCTTTTCCATATCTATTCAATGGTTGCTGCTAGGACTTTCATATTTCACAGGTATATTCCTCGAGACAAGACCTTACTTTGGGTACCAACATGTTTGATTTGCATTTGAGAAAGTTTAACCTTTGCTATAAGCTGCCATACGGGGGCATCAGTGTTTCACAAACACATCTTGTTTATTATTACTTTATCATTAAAGTATATACCGAGAGAAGATAAACTCCTTTATTTACATGGATTACTGAATTTCAAATCATCTATACATGTAATCAGTATGTAAAGTCTATACATGTAAACGGTTTAGTGAAGAAAATAGATGCCATGAACGACTGCTACCAGTATATGTGATCGATGTCCCTCCCGATTCGGTTCCTATGATAAATGTTCCTCTGATGTATTAACAAAAATTACTACTAAGTTAGAAGAATGGCTCTTGGTTTCATTGTCATGTGCGTTAGACATGTTTTACTTAACAAAAAAAAAAAAAAACTAGCTCATTCAGTACTTGTATGTTTTATACATTATGTTTCAAAACTTTTCCTGCGCACTCCCTTGGAGGGACGAAAACCATCGGATCACTTATTCCAACACTGATATCGAATAACCTGAGAAAAGAAGATAAATTTATCACTTTTTGATGAGAGAGAGAGAGATTAGGAGAGAGAGAAAGAGAGATCACATACGTATTCAGAACGAAACCGGATTCGTCATTAAACTCCCCATTTGAAACAGGAATACAATCTGGGGATGTGACGTCACCAAAGAATTTGGTTCCATCTTGGTATTGTCCAGCAAAATTCAGGATAGCCACATTTTCTCCGGGAATACCAGCAGCCCCGATGGTAGCCTCACCGGTGAAGTTAGCCTCACGGGGAACCCCATAGGGACGAAAGGTGTGAGTTATAGTTGTCACATTGCATTGTCTTGTTTTCAGATTCAGTCGATATTCCTTTCCCTGAAAATGTTTCGACAACATTTATAAAACTCCTAAAACTCCTGTACGGAAGAAATGACAGTATTGGCAAATGAAGAGTTATAAGTCATTTTTAACTTAATATACATTTAGAATATTGAGTACTGTGAAACTGAGTTCTTATTAACGTTAAGTCTAGAGGTGACATACCACATTGTGAAGGTAAAGAATATCATAATAGTCAACTTGTCTCCCTTCTGTTTCCTCTTCGACAATTCTCCAGCGAGAGGAGGGTTCGTCATAACTAATTCGACCTCTTCTAAAGTAATTCTCCTTTCTATCAACCTGATTAAAAATAGTTGTAGACGAAAGGCTATAGATTAATAAAACAGGAAGAATAAAAAGCACTCAGAATTTTTTAATTATGTAGGAGAACCGACCGTAATTATTCTCCCTTCCCACTGTTTTGGCGAATCTGAAATCAAAGGTTTTGTTAAAAAGTTGTATAAATAAAAGGAGATGGTGAACATGACGAGCGATAAGCCTATAGTGTGACAAACATGAAGACGAAAAATTAAATTTCAATCATATCAAACTTTTCCTTGATATTTCGTCTAACATTAAATTATACTTTATGTAAAATCTCTGTAATTTGCAAAAATCCTTCAAAGATTGAAATTATTTGCCTGTGAAATATTAGACACACACTAAAGCGGGCAAAAAGAGTCATTTTCTCATATTATAATACTATTTTTCGATATGAGTGGGTCTTCGCTCCACCTTTTTGAAAGTTAATCCTCAAAGTTTGCATAAAAATATACATTTTTTGGTTACCAAAAATATGGAGCAATGACCCACTATACCTTAAAAATATACTTCTATGACATAACATTCGCATCTTTTCGAGAAATACTTGAAGTCCATTAAGTCAAGGGTCATATCACAAACATGATTTAAATGCCACTATTCATCAGGACTTGTGTAGTCTAGTGGTTAGCGTGCTAGTCTCGAAAGAAAATAATACTTAGGATTTTTATTGCTAGGGTTCGAACCCACGAATACCAGATTAAATTTTTTAATAAAAGAATAAATTTTGCCGAGAAAATTTTCCTCAGAAAAGTTTTGTTTATCATAATTTCATAAATTTCAATAATGAGAACTTTACTCTAAATACTAAATTCACAAACTGAAAATGATTTTTACATATCTGAAGCTATAGGCTTTCTGCACGCTATGTTCGCCCATCTCCTTTATTTTAATTTAAGGACAGCGATAAAGCAGCATGCTTCTTGAAAATTTGCAATCATGTTGGCTCTTATCGTAATTTGTATTGTTCAAATGGACTTTTGAGAATGATCACTGTTTTCGTTATCTACACATTTCACTTTTATAAATGGCACTATACACTTATTGTGTGATTATGAACAATTAAATTTATCTGAAAGTATTTCTGCTGCATTTTCTCGTGATTTTAAGTCTTACCACATGGTCTGGGAAGCTGCGCAGAAGCAACACACAAAAGAACGTTGATGGTAACAAGAAGGAACATGGCGAAAAGACGACGCGTGGCGACTTACAATATTATATGTGTGTTACGCGAGTGCATAGTTACTTAAATAGAACATCATGATAGGTTATCAAGTTCTTATATAGCACATATAAAAGTATTTATCTCTAAAATTTGTTTCTTTTTGTTTCTTTTTTTTTTTTTGAACTGGGAATTCTATTCAAAAATATGAGAATTATGATAAATTTGCATATAAACTATTTCCTCTTTTAGTTTATCTTTTCTTTCTAGTCGTTTGCTGATATTCCTTTATAGTTCTTTCCATAAGATTGATTTTGACCTCAGTAACAAAGCGTATGTATACATGTACATGTGCAGTTCCTCATGAATAAAAAATATGCACATCAATAATTGTCTTGTTCTTACAAAACCTGTGATGTTTACTTTTCCAAATTCTAAAACATTAGGGAAAAAAATGAACAAGGCTCTATCAGAGAAGAAAACAAGAAAAAAAAAATCACGTAAAGTCTCTTCTAAAATTATTAATGGGAGATTTTTGGACCATCTCTCTGCTTTGTAAGAGTTAAAATCAGGATTATTAAACAAAAAGTCAATGACCATCTAAGTAATATAAGTGATTTCATTTAAAATTGTGTTTGAAATTTAAATATTGAACAACATCAGTTGTTTAAACGTGGCATATCCTAGATTTCTCCTGATGAACCATTGCTGTTAATATCAATCCGCAGCTGTGTCCGCAGAAGAGATATTGTACAGAAGCTGTAAATCCTCAACGATCATTCACGCATTTCTCAAAAGCGGATTTGCTTTGTTATAATAACCATAAAAGAAAAAGAAAATTTTTATCAATCTGTATCTAAGTATTGACCACTGGGATATGACGACCAGAATTAAATATGGTGTTTTTCTAATAGCTGTTTTTGGCATCCTTTACTTATGCAATATTTTGAATATGGCAGAATGTTTTGGTGAGTTATCTCAATTCATATACTCTTGGTACTTTGTTATGGGGGAATATATTTACTTCCTTAATTTTAACAAACTGTCAACTGCCGGGAAAACTTGTTCTCCCATTGGATATACATGTTTATAGCGAAGTTTGTGATGAAGGATGTGTTTTGTTGTTGTTAAGATCAGCAATAATTTAACTTTACAGAAATGAATTTCCTAAACTGGCTAGAATACTCGTAAGTTCATAACGAACTGTGTAGCGTGAGATGTTAAGATATTGTTCTAACCAATCACTTGTTTTGCTAAAAATATATAATGCAGAAGTCCACTAAGTTCTTCTCGTGTGAAACAAAATGTTTTCTGTTCTAGTAATTTACATTTAGAACTCTAATATTTCAAGTATAAACAGTAAAGAGAATGTTTTCTTATTGAGTGTCTTCAAAATCTTACTCAGAAGTTCAAATTTTCAGCAAAACATTGGACAGAATGGAATAATTTTTCAAAGTCTCTTCATGAACGTAATGAGAAAGTTTCCCCGGAAATGTCAAATTTGTTGTCATCAAAAAGTGGAGAAATGAAGAAGAGAAAAAATAAATTACGTGCTTTATGTGGAGTGAATTTTACATTGGAACAATACAGTTTCAATTTTTCTCAGGTAACAGAGAGGTATTACATCGATAAAAAGGCCAAACTTTCTTACTGCAAAGTTCCGAAAGCTGGGAGTTCCTTGTGGACGCAAATTTTTATGATTCTGAGAACTGAACCTCAACAAAATTCATACATGATTAATAAAATAGTGGAAGAGAGTAGAAACAAACTTCATGGATATAAGCCATTCTTTTCCTCGATGCCTACTGTTGGAAACAGCACTAGCTCTGTCATTATGTCCAGGAATCCCTATTCCAGACTGTTTTCGGCGTATATTGACAAGATATATTTGATGGATAAGTTTAAAATTTCAAGGATTATTTCAATGCAAAATGGAAAACCAAAGTCAGTATGTGGATACAATGTGACCTTCCAGGAGTTTCTAGATTATGTTGTCAGTCAAGCATCAAACGGGTATAATATAAATAGACACTGGGCACCAGTTTATCTTCTATGCCGGCCATGTGATGTGAGATACGACGTCATAAGCAAAATCGAAACCCTAACAGAAGATTTACACTTTATATTTAATCATTCGCAGGTGTCTAGATCCACAAAGGATATTATTTTGAATGTGACTAAATATAAAGCAGATCTATTTGGAGTATTAAATACATATTTGTCACATTGGAATAAGCATAGAGTAGAGTGTCCCATATTAAAAGAATACTTGTTAAAGATATGGACAGCATTAAAATATCAGGGAGAACTGAAACACGATCTGCCATTTCCAACAAATGCATTTTCGTCTGTGTTGACAAAAAACCCGGATATGAAAGTCATCGTCAATGATTTTGTAGAGTATGTTACAAAAAATAGACCAACATCAGAGGAGAGAAGAGCGCAGCGGAGGAGGGCCCTGACTGAAGCATACAAAGGAATAAGGAAATCCACGATAGATAGAGTTCAGAAATTATACCAGCTTGACTTTCTATTATTCCAATATGAACTGACTCCACCATTATAGATTATGGTTTGTTTTCATTTTTGTCTAGGGCACTTTATTTAATACAGCAAAATCGCCCATTTTTGAGATTCTTGTTGAATATTGAGTGTAATGATGATATATTAAATTGATGATGAACCATTTTTAGTGATTATATGTACAAAAGGTATAAATAATAACACAATGACGAATATGTGTATTAAGCTTTGTTATTTCAAAAATGTATAAAAAAAATTACAATGGATTGAATTTTATAAAAAAAAAAAATATTTCAGATCATCTTCCGGCGCACTCCTTTGGTGGAATGAAAACCATGGGGTCTGTAATTCCAATATTGATATCGAAAAATCTAAAATAGAAAATGAGCACAAAAATTAAAGGAAATAAAATAGGTAAAAGGAGGCAGGAATGTATGGTGAGGAAATAAAAGAGAGATACTTACGTATTCATAACGAATCCAAATTCGTTGGAAATTGCTCCATTGGATACAGGAATACAATCTGGGTAGGTAACATCTCCAAAGAATCTAGTTCCATCTTCGAACTGACCATTAAAGTTCTCGATGACAGCATTTTCCCCGGGAATACCAGCAGCCCCGATGGTAGCCTCACCGGTGAAGTTTGCAAATGGAGGTACTCCGAAAGGACGGAAGGGGCGTGTCAGAGCTGTCACGTTGCACTGTCTAGTTTTCAGATTAAGACGGTATTCTTTACCCTGGAGAATTCAAATATTGATATTTGAGGATACATGTATTTCGGAATTTTTTATTCATAAAAACTAGAAAGGAAAAATGTATCAAAGTATATAGTTATTTTTCCAAAAGATTGATGATTAATTTAAATTCAAGGAAGTGATTACAAAACAAGTTGAACTGAATGATTTTTTTCTAAAAAAAAAAAAAATAATAATAGTTAAGATCTGTACAGTAGAAAAAATGTTCTTTGTTGATACATCTATACAACAAAAATTCAGTAAAATTATCTAAAGATAAGAACTATACGATCTTGTTTCTGTGTGCAGAAGTTATTCAAAACCATTCATGTCTGGCAAGCTCAAGGCACATTTGCCATTATGACCATGTTTAAGTTCATATGTGCAAGTCCATAGAAAAAGACAAGCTATGTTAATATGGATTTGGATTTCTATTACATGTATTACCATTTCGTCCCCAAAGTAATGGCATGATTTCCCAACAGAATTTTTTTTTGAAAACTTTATATTTAATGCAAATTCTTGAAAAAAAAAACACTTTATATTTAATGCATTCTGAAGTCACAATTTGTAACATACCAAAACAGTCAGGAATAAGGCTAGTAATAAATAAGGGTATGAGAGACGTTACGTCTCAAGCCTTCTTGTTTTTCACAAACAAAATCCAAAGTTGAAACTTGTTATACTAGACAGCTTCGAGGAAGTGTATCGACATGCATTATGTTGTAAAATTTAATTTACTCGGTGAGGTAACAAATTTACAACATGAAAAATTGTTATGATGTTCATATTTGTAATTATCCCTCCCCAGTAAATTCCAAATTTACAAAAGTATGCATAAGTACCGCGTTAAATAACATTGAATGTATGTCTTAGATAGAATAAATCTACCTTACACGAAGCATGTAGGGGTATCTTACCACACGTAATGTGCAGACAGAAAATGAATTATTTTAAATGATAATAGAGAGAGCATGCCACAAATTATTACAATATAGAGGCCATGCCAAAAATGAATGAGATATAGAGAGGCCATGTCATAAATGATTGAGTTATAGAGAGGTCATGCCACAAATGATTGAGTTATAGAGAGTTCATGCCACAAATGATTTTAAGTTATAGAGAGGTCATGCCACAAATTATTACAGCACAGAAGTCATGCCACAAATGATTGAGTTACAGAGAGATCATGCCACAAATTATTACAATACAGATATCATACCACAAATGATTAAGTTACAGAGAGGCCATGCCACAGATGACTGAGTTATAGATAGGTCATGCCACAAATGATTAAGTTATAGAGAGGTCATGCCACAAATGACTGAGTTATAAAGACGTATTACATGTGTTACTGTACATCAAATAATTACTATACAGAGCTCATACCACATTGTGTAAGTAGAGAACATCATAGTAAGACACGTCTCTGTCTTTAGACTCCTCCTCGATGATTCGGAATCGAGGTGCGTACTCGTCATAACTGATGCGACCCGCCCTGAAGAAATTCTCCTTCCTGTCCACCTATAGTAGATAGATGTCAATAGTATGAGATCATAGCAAGTTTGGATGTATATGTAAGTAGATAATGCATATATAATTGTATATATGTTGTGTGGCGTACCGTTATCACTCTCCCCTCCCATTGCTTCGGTGATTCTGGAATAAAAAAGTTTTAGATTGTTGTGAAAGATATAAATTATAATAGTGACTGTGACCGAATTTATCGGAAGATAAAGATTGACAATCACGTGATCTCTATGTTGGTCTTACAAATGATAACGGTGAGAATTTAGAAAGGTTAAATACTAATAAAGTCCTTCTTAGATAAATTATAATAAGTTAAAAATAATAGTAAATAATGCTAAAAGTAGAATGGTCATCATATACTTATATCTTAACAAATAACTTCGTGGCGAATGATAATTCTTGACTTGCTTTTAACTTTCTGATCTGACTATTTTGAGTCTTTATGAAACACGGAAATCTATATATGGTGCATACATGTGCTTGTATATTGAATCTATTTCAAGTACAAAGGATGCTCAAAATACATTTATGGTTATACATGTAATATAATTGGAAAAATACCCTCTTGAAAACTTATGCATTAAAGAAAAAATATATGATTTTTTCGGTCTTATGATTATTTTTGTTGCTATGAAGTGCGAGTCTTACCACATGGCCTTGGAAGTTGTGCCGTTACAACACACAGAAGAACGCTGAGGGCAACCAAACGGAGCATGGTGAACAGACTACACTGGCAGACGATCCAAAGTAACGGTCTTCTGCAAGTCCCAAGTTCTTAAATAGAACCCTTGTCTTTATCAAACGTTATCTGAAGACGTGACACACATACTTGTGTCGTTATAATATGCAGAAAGACCATAATATAAAGGACTAAAATATCCACTTAACAATATTTGTGTTAGGAAGATGTGCAACCATCTTCAGTATCTCTCTTTAACTTTATCAATATCGCATGTATATATTTGTTCATCATTATGTCATTTTACAAACCTAAGTAAAGTAAATGACGATTACATTAAATCGAAACCTGAGTTTAAAATCTCATCCTTTTCCTTAAATAATTACATGTATCTGTGAATTTCTTAATTATACACCGCAGTATTATGGACGGCATGGCATCTGTATGCTTTAAGCTCTTGACCAAGACCACTTTTTACCTGCATGTATAAATGCATGATTTGTACAGTGTTTACAGGAACAGTATAAAGAATATTGAATCAGGACATAGCTCCCTCAATTCGATGTTAATAACTGATGTTCCGACATCTTACAGGAATTGGGGAAATTTTCATTTCCTGCTCACACGCCTACTGTATGATGTTTTAATGTAAACTGAGGTATACTTCAAAAATGGACGTTATCCTGGTCTTGTAACCTTAACCTTCGTCCGTCGACTAATTCTGACTAGGAGATTTCTAAATCAAATATGGCTTTTTTCACATCGACGGGTCACAATATAGAACAAGTACCGAGTAAAAAGGCAAACCTTATATAACATAAAACAGTGTTATTAAATAATAATTTGGTCTCCAATAAACTTTCCAGCTTAAACAAGCACATATGCAGTAGTTTATAAGTCACACGTGACCATATATTAAAAAAAAAACTTTAATAAAATTAGATACTAAGTGTAGTTTTGGTGTTATCGTTAGTTCACCAATTTATAAAAAAATTAAGAAACAGAACCAACATCTAAATTCTTTACTTTTCAATTTATGCAAAGGCACAGTGCCATATTAATTGTCTTTTTAAGTACACATAAACTGATAAAAGAAAAGTCGGTCATTTTCCTCAGACCTGTGACAGGGACATGACATTTTGTCGAGGTCATATTCACATTTCTCGTCCTAGAACAGTATAAGCACTTCTCATTAATTATATTATCGCATATTTTTGCGAAACATATCGCGCATAAATACATTCAAACATAAATTTAAATCATAAATCCAAAAACAATTTCACTCAGATTTATTCAAAAAATATTTTTACATAAATGTTGATCTTAATGCCTATTCCCTGTGATGAAATGTATATTAAAGAGTTATTTGTTCAAGTGACATTCACTTACCAATAAGAAAAAAAAAATCATCATAAAGTTAATGTATATATACCGAATGCAAAGAGTTTGCACATAAAACTTTTGACCTTTCACTTGGTTCTGAAAACACAGTTATAATCTGTCCAATACGAGCGCTTCCATCACTTTTTAAGCGATTTCAAATAAGTTTGACGTATTTTCAAGAAAAAATCATTAAACATAAAAGTTTATTATACCTTTAAAAATAATTTCCTATAAAAATATATACTAAAAACGTCTTATATTTTACTGAGCGATCAAAAAAAAAAAAAAAAAAAAAAACAATGTTGGACCGCTTAGTATGATATTGGACCTTTCGATGACATACAACTTGACTTTTAAAGGTATATACCAAAACATTTATTAACAGTGTTCTCGGGCAAAATGCGTTTCGTCAACCCCCGAACCAAACAGTTTGGTTCTTCGGTCCGACAAAACACATGCTGCCCTCGAACCCAGTCAATAAATTTTTATTCATCATTTCAAAACCATATTTAGTCAGATTGGATTCATAAACATTGATAATGATACACAATTTTTCAAAGTTAACGGAAATGTATTTTTCGGCCATTACTGTCAAAAAAAGAGTTGTTATTTCTAGGAATTATCTGAGTGTACGACTGATCAATAGATTGATTCCAAACGTGTTCCATGACATGACATAAAAAACGGTTTGTTTGTTTGTTTGTAACGTCCCTTTTTCATGGCAGCACCTCTAAAGGACCGCTCTCCACGTCCCACAGTGGGATTTGAACCTGCGATGTAAGGATCAACTCCTTACTCCGCGACTCTAGAGCAAACGCTCTACCCACTGCGGCAGGCGGGCGACTGTAAAATAAAGAATAATAGTGAATCCTTGGGACGGATTTTCGTAATTTGTTAACATTCAATAGACTGAGAATTTCTTACCGGTTCAATACACTAGCTGAACTCGATGGTTTCTTTCAAAGCATAACGTTTGAATAAAATAATATATCTGTCGAACCTATAGTTTGAAAGACAAGGTTTATTTTGAGATATGATACAAAAAGTGATTATATTGGTAGGTTGGGAATACTATAATGTTAAACACATACATGTAGTTACTGACAGAGCGTGAAACAAACATGATTGTTCACTTTTTGATAAAGAAAATATTTTAAAACTTTTTTGTTTTGTTTCGTTTGTTTGTTTTGTTTTGTTTTTTCAAAATGTCTTGTTGATTTTTAAAATTAATATACATTTGTCAGTAGTCAGGACAGGCATGTGCTGTAATTTAATTGGCAATGCCATACAGCTCAGTAAAGTCTGTACTCAAAGGAACCAATCACCATCGTCTTCTGCATTATATATAAAAATACATAAAGACTTGGCCATTTGAATAGGTTCTATCAATTTATTCATTTTTTAAACTTAATGCTTTCAAACGATTCAGCGAGTTCAATTAGTACATTGACATGACAGCAGATGTAAAGTCTATAGGGATTTAACACTACAAATGATAGGTATCCATCATTATTCGTATTTTTTTATCACTTTCCTCAATATTGCACAAATAGGACATATTCGGAAAAAAATTAGTTGCAACATTCGGATATTCTCTTGAAATATGCCAGCTCCCTCCTGCACTTGATAGCATTGACCGAAGTTTACGTTGTTAATGAATTTCGGTAGACTTTGACGTTGTCTCATGATTGTTTATTTCAAGTTGTATGCATTCATCCAACTATAAATGACTTGGATATGTTTAACGTTTTCAAGTTTAATAATATTTTCATTAAATATAGCATAATTCTCTGCTCTCGTACAAATGAGGTTGAAGCGCTCATATGGGACAAATTATAATTGAAAAAATTGTCAATGCAACCATCGGGACATGATGCACAAGTGGACAGATAACTGTTCAAGATTTTGGTTGTCATAAAAACTTGTTACCTTAAAATGTATAAAGTAATACTGATATAAAAGTGACTACATTATATTATATTTAAGATGAAAAAAGAGCATATATAAATATCCTTCTTATCAATCAGAAGGTACTTGACTTTATAGGAGAAAATATGTAGTAATTCAGTTTTCGTTCATGCCATGGTCAGTGACTGCATTCATAATTGGGGATCAATGGTCTAGGTGCATTCATAAATCGGAATCGATGAAATCTTCATAAGGAATATTGAAAATTTTGGTCAATTATAGAATAGTATAAAAGTTTATTTCAATAAACAAGATTAATTATCAATATTAAAATAAAGATCGGAGACAACGAGATCTGTCCTGCAATGTTGATGTTCTTACTAGGGATAGTACTTGCTGGTTTCTTGGTCGGAAGTAGTGGAAAATCTGGTTCTAATGAGGCAGGACTGGTCGTAAATTCAATATTTTTTCCGACTTCTAGCCGGACAGTTTTCCCCTCACATTTTAACTTCATTGGGTGTTTTGCCATTTTGGTTAATGTAACATTAGTTTTGTCATTCGTGAAAGATAAATCTATAGATCCGCCAAGATAGTCTAGGCCTGTGATTTTGAAAGATGTTGTTGACGGTGGAAGACGACCGTGGAAATCTATTCTGTCTGGATGAAGCCGGATGCCACCATAACCGAACAATAGAGACTGTAAAAATCCGCCCATACCTGTGATAAAATTGACGGCTCCTGTACCATCGGCATTCTCCGTCCAAACCTGGAAATTACAAAAGCATTCTGGATTTCTATTGGCTTCATGGTTGATATCATGAATAAGGCGAGCAGGATATCAATCAATGATGTGAACTTTTCGTTTTCACCAAATCTACATGTAGGGAACTACACAGCTAGTGTTGTATTGTGTATCATCTAATATTTAAGTTCATCATTTCCCTCAACGTAATTCTAACTAACGATATCTAGTAGTCACCAGAAGTATGGAAAAATTGTACATGTTCTGTGACAAACAATATTGCTGAAACACTTCACACATAGATCTTACATTAAAAGGGGCCGCCACATTTTCTTCTTGCTTTCTGAATAACCTGGCTGCTTCTGTGGTATCATTAAGTTCCAGGTAACCGATCGCAAACATTCCCCACGTCATGGCGGGCCCGGCAGGGGTTACCTGAAATGAAGAAAACAGAAAATTAAAATCTTTTACATCTTTTAAGAATGAAGTAAATTCATGCTGTCATACAAAATACTGTATAGATTGTTATGTCAAAATGTAAGAAAATTAATTATTCCTTTTCAATGAATCATTCTAAAAAAAGAAACCAAAGAACATCCAACATGTTATTTAGAAAGGAGAGATTTCAATACATTCCTTTTTAAGAGAGCTGAGTATGTGATACTTATCCAAAAATATTACATTTTCATATATTAGTAAGTCGTTTCTGCGCACGTCTCCAGGCATAGCCATCATTAAAGGAAACCCCATCAAAATAACATCTGCCTGTTTTACCTTTTCGCCTTCAAAAAAAAAAAAAAAAAAAAGAAATAAATAAAGCAAACAACATTCGACATTATAGACAGGAAATTAACAAAAACACATGGATAGAACAGTACAAAAATTCGTTTTCAGAGAGCAAGATCTACATGTACCTTGTTGATATCCGTCAAATTCTGGATGATAACGTCGTGACTTGTCAAAGGGAATGTACATATTGTCTGCCACCTCCTTATATAAAGGCTTGGAGTACTGACCCAGGAGTCCATCAATAAACTCTGGGAGGCGCAGACTCAGTTGGGCCACGAGGTTTGTGTAGGCAGAGTTGTTGATTTGGTGGTGGTACTCATCTGGTGGCATCACATCTATCAACAAAGTAAAACTTAACAGTAAATCCTACTCTTAGACCATTGCTCTAGCTCAGACGAAGATAATCACTGCATGGTAGCTTTCAACCACTGTCGATTCACTTTCAGGTCTCTTTATTCAATAATCTCTGAAATAATTAAAACTTTTATGATACTTGGACCAAAGAAGTTATTCTCTAACAATTTACACACAAATTAAGAATATATTAATAATTCAAGTAATCAATAAGAATATCTAATAATCTTCAATAAAAGACAGAAAATATCAGACACAAAACACAAAACAAATACTATATATTTCATATACGCTGGTTCTTTTATTAAATACTGCACGGGATTCCCAAAATTCAGCAATATCTCTTATCATTTCATTCCCTCTTTCATGGATTAGAAAATGCGTATCACGTGTAAGGTAAATATATTGTCTGGCTGCGAATGATATATCGCCTGTTATGTGTTTTTCAAACTGGAAGTATGGAGGAACTGGTGTGACGTCATATCCTGCAAAAAAGGGGGGAAATATTAGTTTAAATATACGGAAATACATGTAGCTCCGAGAATGTAACAGATATGATTAATCTTACTAGATAAATTTTACCACTGAATGCACTTTCCCATGGATACATAGCTCCCCTGAAGCCCCTCATCATGGCCTGATGTTTAGCGTTATCCAGTGTCCTAATTCTGGTTTTGATTATAGCCTTGCCTATATCGCTGTGCAATAACTGAATGGGCGGATACATCCATGTCTCTTGGTCCCAAAACACGTGACCATTATACATCTGAACAAAGGAGTATAAATAGTTAAATACTTATTTCAATAAGATCACTTGATTTGAGTAGTGTCATTTCAGTGAAAGTATAAAGACATGAATACATGCACATGTAGTGACTGCTAGTTCAGAGAGTTCAAAGAGTTTATTTATTATTAAATCTCAGTTTACCAGTCCATGTGCAAGACCCCCTGGTGAAAGACCAATGAAACCCGGTTTTTCTGACAGGGGAAGGGAGCTGAGTATGTAGTAGAGAGATGAGCATATTAATTTAGCTAGATTGTCGTTCCCTACTACGTCGATACGTCCATTGTTCCAAATACTCTGCCATGTCTGTATGTGCTGATTCTCAAGTGTGTTGTTAATGAATAGAGTCACACCTGCAATACAATCACGAAGAAACTATGACACAACTTGAAAAAGTTGCTGCATAAAAGCCCCTTTAAATCATGGATGAGAAATGAGAAACCTTTGGCCGATTTAAACTTGATCGATTTCTCAGCGATAGCTTAAAGCCAGGAAAGGTCGTTTCTGTTTAAATATATAGTTTAGGGAAGATCTTAATGCACTTCTTCTGGGATTAAAAATAGAACATTGCTTAATTTCACGGCGACTTGCCTTTCCCAGATCCTACAAAAGTCTCTAAAAAAACCCTCAATGATCTCCCAAGGAGAAATGGATCTCCCATAAGTCTCCAGAAAGATGAGATGGTTTCTCTGCAATCTCCCAATGATCTCTCTGACATCTCTTCCATATGAAGTTCAAAATATGTTGCGTTCTTCGAAAGATCACATTTGGGAATTAAAAGATCGTTAGATGAGCTTTCTGAGCTTTTTGAACGATCATCGGGCGGTCTTTGAGAGTCATCATTGAGAAATCGTTTTAGGTGGAGTCAAACTTTTTTAGACCATGAAGACTGTGAAGACCTCTGGCATATCATTGAGAGATCATGACAATGCCTAGAGATCGTTCAGAACCTCCGTGTAGGCCCCCTTTTAAAAACATGGAGACTGTTGAGAAAACCGTGGGTGATGTACAGGTCAGATCTTTAAGCGATATCTGAGAGTCATGAAAAGTCTATATCTGTGTAAATGTTATTGGAAGATTATAAAGTGCTTATTGAGCGATGAGATGTGAGAATTTCTCTATATTTCTTAACGATCTTTCGATATCAATGAGCGATCATGGATCGCACATTGAAAGATTCCGCAGAGATTGGTGGTTACTCGTACAATGTACTTTGCTTTCTGTAGCGAGTTCTGAAAGTTCGTTGAAAGATTACTTTGCAACCAACAAAGATCATTGAAAATCAATGGAGATTGTTGAAAGATCAAGACTTTTAGTGTGACCAAAGGAGATCACCGTTGGATCGAAAGTGACCACTAAGAGATCCTCATTCGTTCTAAACATTTTGCATTCCAAGGGACTGTTGGGCAATCTGTCTGCACTCTCTTTGTGTTCTTTGAGAGCCTGTTTACCTTTGTGATAGTTGAAAGACTGTTTTGGATAAGTTCAACACTTTGAAGAGAGACTGTTGAGAAATGTGAGACCACTAAGAGATCATGGCAATGACTGGGCGATCGTTGAAAGATCGTAAAGATTGCGTAATATTGCATCGCTCAGCAATCTGTCAACGGTCGCCACCTTTGTGTAAAGGGGGTTTAAAGGGTCTTTGAGCGAGACAGGGGCTTTTCATTACTTAATATGGACACCAAACTCATACCTTCAGTAAACTGTTCTTTGGCAACTTGTGGATTACTATCAACACTAAGAAGAAAAAGTCGAGCCATCTTTTGATATGGAGCCACACAGATATTTGAAGGTATCCGTGAATAAACCATGGTAACATTGCGTGTCTCATTCCAAGAATACTCAAATTCTTTAATTCTTCCGAAAAATATTCTGTTAAAAACATAATAGTGATATTTCATGGTCATCTAGTACTCTATGTATGTGCACTTCAATGCAAAGATTTTCTCCAAGCTATTTGACATTAACTCACCCGGTATTATTGTCTGAGGGTGATGAACGACTCCCACTGAGATTTTGATCCAGATCATCAGTCACGGTTGCCTTACCACTGCTGATGGACAGCTGCAGAGGCAGATGTTGTTCGTTCAGCATCAATAGCTCTGTCACTATTAGCTGGGGGAGGGACCGATGGGCGTACATCTTCATTGTCACTGAGAAGTTCTGCCCGCTGTGGCTCTCCACGAACATGCCTTAGTTATGTATTGCACAGATTAATAAGAACAAGTAGACAATTTGTTCCATTTCAAATATATTTTAATTGTTCAATACAATATTAATGGAAAGTTCATTTACAGCTTACAAACAGCTTCAAAGTGTGGTTGAAATTAAACTGTATCAAGGAGTTGTTTTCAATAATTATACTTTTCTACTTTTCACTGACTTATATTTGATATCAATATACAAATTAAGAAAGCTTTAAATTATTTTTACGCACCATTCTTGAAGTCTATACTGTAGTTGGACTTAGCACTTCCGTTGATAGTAATACTTTTTATCATTATAGATGGGAGCAAGGCTCGGTGTGTTTTAATGGCGTAACCGTTGTAAAGCCCATTCATACACATTGTGTCTGATTTAACAACAGTAGCGATATGCCCATTTCCAATAGTTGGAAGAATGCGCGTGTCATTTGTTAGTCTGTAAAAACAGTTAAATTTAATATAGTAATAGGTCTTACTGCTATTGCTTACCATTACGTCGAAGTAATTTATTATTTCAAGAAAAGCAGTTCTCCTTAAGGACGACGGACCTAATTCGAAATTTCACGCCACTGCGCAGAAAACCGCGCATATGCCTTGAATCAAATTGACTTAATTATGTATTGCAAAAGATAAAAAAAAAAATACATTGTTAATTCTTTTAAGATATTCAAACGTTTCCTCTCCATTAAAAATATTGTAAATATTTCGATTTTTATTCATTTGTTGATTTTATAAATAAATGATTTATTTGGCCAAGGTATTTTCATTGAAAAATTCCCTCAAAATGTGCCCTACTTCTGAGTTTGACATGCCCCCCTTAAAAATCTAAGCCGATGACCCATTTATTTTTTGGCATAATTTGCTGGTAAATTGTCTTTTTAACATTGTCCTTTAATATGAAAAAAAATTCTATTGCAGAATTTTTTTCCCCAATGATCACTCTTATACCCTACACTGGCAATTTCCCAGTACTTCCTATAGTAATTATCGATTTCCATTGCCAACTTTTGAAACGCTCCCCATTAAAAATCTACATCGATGACCATATGATTTTTTTTTATTGATTTTAACTCACCAAAAGTCACTTAACCTCATATCAAAATTTGAATAAAAAATCTATTGCAGAAATGAATTAGCTCCGTCATCGTTAATTAAGTGTGATATAAACGATATTATTTGTTCCAAAGATCAAAAAACGTGTACATGTTACTATTCCTTAAGCTAAGAATCCTAAGTTGAGTGGATTTATTTTTTCTTTATATTATGCATGGGTAAGAGTTAGCTAAATTAGGGATCAAATTTGACATAATACATGTATATACAGGAAAAGAATTTTCTCCGTAAATGCAAGGTCATGCTAGTCATATTGATATTGAAGCATCACCATGTTATGTGGATTAATAGAGAGTGTTACAGTGGGGAAATAATATCCTGTCACAATTTTTCATCGGAATAAAAAAATAGCAGGGCTATACTTATTTAGCTCAGCGTTGTGCCCAATGGGCCTGTTATTACATTTGTGGTCATCTACAATACGTAATATCACTGCTCATTCTGCAGAGGGAAAAGGTTGAATATTGGCATACAGTATATGCCGAATGGACGACAATGTGTTCGTTCAGTACAAGTAGAGCTTTTTTCAAAAAGCTTGGCCGTCTTTAGCATCAACCTTAAACAGTAAACTGGCACATACCTATCAGGCCATATTATTCTTGAGCATTAAATTTTTACTGACATTAGTATGGTGTCCGGATAGGGCCATTTGCAAAAGCTCAACAGCGCGTTCAGTTTTCTGAACGCACTGTTGAGCTTTTGCAAATGGCCCTATCCGGACACCATACATTAGCCCTACCATGTGAAAGTTCAACCAGGCTCGGCTTTCTCCGTGAATCAACTCTGCAGCTGGTCGGAGTTTACGAGAGATTAGAAAGATAAGTGCAAAACAAAAGAAAAATACAAGCTGACAAGCGATAATAAAAGAACATTTCTGTTTACAATGAAAATAAAGAAACGCCTTCTAGTTATTGCTATAAAAAATTAAAGTGTTATTTAGATTTATTGATTGCCATTTTCAACTGTTCGTTTTATCAATGTTTTTTAAGATTGAAAATCTTGAGAAATTGTTAAATCGCACTAAAATTAGATCACCAGAAAATTATCTCCCTTCCCTTGAACAGCATTTTAACCAATGAAATAATTGAAAATTTTCACATCATGTAATTTCTACCAATCACAAAGGAGGGGAAGTGCATAATCTGAAGACTGTAAAATACTTCAACTCTGTATACCGTCTTCCTCCGCACTTTACGTATATTTAGCAGGCGACAATTTGTACATTCACAGTCCCTATTGACTGAAAAAATTGTTGGAAATACACATGCTTTACTTATTTTATTGATTTATTTTTGGAGAAAAATATATCTAAATTCAAATAAAGAAAAACTGTATGGGCATTTTTATTGATTTTTTATGCCCCCGTATCGAAGATTCGAGAGTATATAGCTTTTGCCCTGTCAGTCCGTCTGTCTGTCTGTCTGTTCGTCTGTTTATCCTTGACCTACGAATTTGACCTACTTTTGAAAAACTTTAACCTTGGTCATAAATTTAGAACTTTAGGTTGGTTCTAGGGCTTTCATACTTCACATATGTAATCCTTGTGAAAACACCTTCTTTTGAATACCAACAACTTTGACCCTTTGACCTTGAACTTGGAGTTTGACCAACATTTGAAAAACTTTAACCTTGGCCATGACATTTGAACAGTTAGTGCTAAGGCTTTTATTCTTCACATGTGTAAATTCTTCACATGTATAATCCTTGTGACAAGACCTTCCTTTAGATACCAACAATTATAGCCCATTGACCTTGGAGTTTGACCTACTTTTGAAAAACTTTAACCTTGGTCATAAATTTAGAACTTTAGGTTGGTTCTAGGGCTTTCATACTTCATATATGTAATCCTTGTGACAAGGCCTTCTTTTAGATACCAACAACTTTGACCCTTTGACCTTTGAATTAATTGCTATTGACTTACCATGGCTCAGTAAATAAGGAATTTTAAAAGTAGACTTACAAAAAGTAATAAAGACATGTTTTAAAATATATTTTATCATAGATTAATATAAAATATATGTATTATACATGTTTTTATTTGTGGATTTTTTTTTTTTTTTTTTTTTTTTTTTTTTTTTTTTTTTTTTTGGTCTTAGACAACACGAATTTTCAATTCGTAGGAACTGGACAGAACAGATAGACGAGCAGTAAATAAAGTAATAAACATTATATAATATTATGCACATCATAACTCTTTTCAAAGATTTATTTCCAACGAAATTTAATACCTCAGTTTCTTTATATTACTGATATTATTAATCAAATGTGCTTTTCAACCCGATTTTAAAGTGTATATTCTAAATCCCCAAAATGAATTTTAACAAAGAAGTAAGTCTTTGCAAACCCGATATGAAATACACTGCTTAACCATATCCTGAATTTTCAAATATTCCATCCAATAAAGTACTTAGTATCGGGGGAAAAAAACTTACGTGTCGTTACTCAACACGGTTATATCTGGCGCTGGGGCCAATAGACGCCCATCTGGAAATGGGATATTTCTCGTTTTAGCTCCATGAATGAGAGTAATTTCATTTAAACTTGTGGTTGGATTTCCAGAATAGGGGCAATTAGCACATATTGCTAAACGGTCAGAGAAACATAATAAAAACACAATTCCGAGGATGGGAAAAAGTGTCATGGTCGAACCTGTGACATGTGACGAAATTACTATTCTCTTAGAGCGCAAGTTAGCTAGCCTAAAATTTAAACAACTCGATTAAATTACATATCTGAAGTTCTTAGTTACCTAAAAATTTTAAATCAGAGCTTGCATGCATCTTATCTAATCTCACAGTTTTTCTGATATACACTCAAAAACACAAAATGATACACTCAATACCAGTACAAACAAACGAGAAAAAACATGAACTGACATCCACATATTTTATTTGTACACCTTCTTAGAACAGAATGTTTTATTAAGCAAATTGCTACATTGTTTTGATTTGATTTTTTAAATTTAAATATATACACTGACAAACATGAAAAGACTTTTTTAAAAAGTAAATTATCGATTTCTTTTGTTCTTTAAGTCTGGCACAATACTTGCTGCGGTGTTTGGAAAAGTTTGTGACTTCCCTACAATTAATACTAAGTTCTTAAATTTTGTTCTCAGCTTTAAAACATATCGAGCTGAATGTATCAGACGAACAGAAGTCATCTCCTCTGAAAAATAAAAATCTATAGATCCGCCAAGATAGTCCAGCCCCGTGATATTAAACGAAGTAGTTGACGGCGGAAGACGACCGTGGAAGTCGATTCTGTCTGGATGAAGCCGGATGCCACCATAACCGAACAACAGAGACTGTAAAAATCCGCCCATCCCTGTGATAAAATTGACGGCTCCTGTACCATCGGCGTTCTCCGTCCAAACCTGGTTACAAACAGAAGTTATAAAGATAAATACAGGGTTTCTTAAGAAAATGGGTGAATAATGCATAGTAAATGAGTGATCCATGTCCAAATTATTGAACTTTATTTTCAATGTTATGATCGAGTGCAATACTGTATCAAACAATACTTTCCAGGGATAATTCCGCAAGCAAAAAGTCGATCTTCGATTTAAAAAGGGGCAAACTAAGAAAAAATCATTTGTGATTTTGCATTAAAGATGTGTATTCATTTGGCATATTATATACTAGTACATGCAAGCGCGGAGAATTGAATTCTTATGACGGAACAATTCCATTAATATATTTAATGGTGTCTACTGACAGGTTAATTAAAGTTTACACCAGGAAGAAGTACTTTGTACAAAATTCTGCAGTTAATGTAGATGCAGAAATAGATACCCCCCACCCCTTTAATTTTTTTTTTTTTTTTTTTTTTTTTTTGTATTTATTTATTAATTTTGGTAAGAACTTGAAAATACCAATTTAGTTAATTGACAATACCTTATTCATTAAATGACAGCAAGTTTATAAGTAATACGCTGTACTTCTTGTACATACATGTACTGTACTCAGGTTCGCCATGAATGCCCATGATACTCTCAGTGGCAAATATGCACATTTTACTGACGCTTGACTCAATTTTATATAGGACGAGCACGTACGAGCTATGTGCGTACCAGTAAAGTGCCGTTGTCCCAAAGACTATTGGTAGAACTAAGGTTGTGCTAATTTTATCAGTAAAATGTGCATATTCGCCACTGAGAGCATCTACATTAATATGAGACAAAGTTCTGCACTTTACCGGTACGTACAAATTATATGGAAATAGTACGTGCTCTTTCTGAGTCACGCGTCAGCGTGACGATTTCGTTAAAACGGTAATAAAATTAAAAAATAACCTATTTTTTGAATTCTCGTCATTTTTTTATGCTAATAAATGTTTTAATGTTAATTAACAAAGTTTATAAATCAGAATTTCTGGATTTCAAAAACAAACCAGTAACTTTCTAGTTTTCAATCACATTCTAAAGGTTTTTAAAAAACAATTATCACAAGTACATGTCACTTAAGTCAAGTTTTGATTGAATAAATCACTTATGATGCTTTTTCAAAGAATTAATTGACTTTTTGTTGTCAGTTTCATTAAAAATTGCCAGCAACTTTGGTCCGCCAACCGCAATCACCACCGTGTTCTCTTTTTGTTGTTTATCGAAAACGAATGTAGCCTTTTAATTAAATTTATAATTTTATCCAAATGACATCTCAATATAACATAACCTTACACTGATGTAATATAAAGGGTATGAACTCTGGCGCAGGGATTTATTTACAAAATCTATAAATTTATAATTACAGACATTCCCCTAATTATATCCCAATAATCAGACTAACATTGAAAGGTTTTGCGACATTGAGGAGCTGTCTAGTAAAGTGATTGGAGGCTCTCTCTGTATCACCGATCTCCAGGTTCCCTACAGCAAACATACTCCAGGTAAGAGCAGGTCCTCCAGGCGTTACCTAAAAAGTAAACTACTGGGAAATCACTGATTTTCATGGGAAGTTAATTTTTTTTATTTTTGTTGTGTTTGGAGACCCACGAATTCATGTCAACTACGAATGTACATAACTACTCAACATTTCTTCATCTGACACATCAAATCCCCACGAACCCTTTTTTTTCTCAAACAACGAATATCTTACCATAAATATGTGATTTTATAGTACATGTACACAGTCTTCAAATTTTTCAATAAGAATAACCGGAATTTCATTAAACAAATGTATGAATTTGTATCAGAATATGCACTGCGAATTGCCCTGGTCCATTTCTACATGTAATTGCAAACTCACTGCTTCGTATATCCGTAGGTCTTTCTTTCTAGTACTGTGTGTCATGTTCAGCATGAAAGGAAAGCCCAACAAGATAACATCTGCCTGTTTTACCTGCATATCTATAAAAGAATGCTTGAGATCTTAAAAAAAAGAAAAAAAAGAAAGAAAAGAAGCTTATGGACCAGTGGACCGTTTTACGAAAGAACTTACAACGAAGACCAAAATTTACTGCTTATAAATTTCTAATTTTAAATAAATTGAACATGGTTTTAATCTTTTTAGAGGAATGTACAAAGATATTTTTACGCTGGCAACTTTTAACAGAACAAGCATTAGCAATACTAGTCCCCTACCGGCAAGTGTAATCTGGTTCCCGTTAAGAATTGAAAATGCCATAATTCCGACAAAAATCAATGAAGCGGAACGAAATGAAAACTTGATCTATTACATGTACTCATCAAGATAAAGTCACATACCAAAAATCAGTTCAATATCTGCAAGCGTTTAGAAAAAAAATGCGGAAAACCAAGTGGGACAGACAGAGGGACAGCTAGACAGACAGACAGACGGACGGACAGACTCAGAGGAAACCTATAGTCCCCTCCGGTTTCACATATTAGACACATATTATTCTAATTGTTTTCAACTTCAATGTTGCGGAAAAATCGCTTTATGTACTCAGACTTGCTTACTTGTTGTGTAACCATCAAACTCAGGGTGATAGTCTATTTTTCTGTCGTATGGAATGTACAATCGGTCTGCAATGGCTTTGAACCTAGGATCGGGCTTGGTATTCGTTAAATTACAGACAAATTCAGGCAGCAGAAGACTCAATTTTGCCACAGCATTGGTAAATGCCGAGTTATTTACTTGCTGGTGCCATTCATCTGGTGGCATGACGTCTACATATGTACAAACAGAGGCAATATTTATTTTTAATTCTGCAACTCTCTTATAACTGAAAATGTCGATGACAGTTTTAAAAAAACTATAGTACCACAATAATAACTTGATAAACATTAAAACAGAAGGTATCTTACTCCGAATTACCACTGCCCTGAATCGCAGTCATTTACACTTTCAGAAAAAATGCATTGGCAAACTGTTTGATACCATTCTCTCCTACGATAAAACTGTGCCCTGTTGTAAATGGTTTTCTTAAGCTGAAAATTTTCAATTTTACCTTCAGCTACATACAATATTTATATTACTATTCGATTGTGACCTCTGATTTTTTTTCTCGAAGATGTGCTATATAGGTGCATTTGTTATTGATGGCAAGTAACGGGAAATCATGATAGATTCCTTTCCGAAGAGGTGACCATTTCCCATTTCAAATTTGCCGCCGTTTCAATATACACTAGTTGAAATCAAAGGATCTTTTCAAATCAGAAAGTTTTGGGGAATTGAATACTCACCATGTATTTCGTACATATTTGTTGAAGAATTGAGAGAAACACGTGAAGCCCAAAATTTCGCTATTTCGTTGATTAAAGCTTGCCCAGATTCTTGATTCAGGAAATAAATGTCATGTGTCAAATAAAGGTACTGTCTAATAGCAAATGAAATGTCGCCAGTGATGTGTTGTTCATTTAAGAAATATATAGGATCTGCTGTTACATCAAGTCCTACAAGGATAGATTGCAGGAAATAATAAATTTCACCTCTCTTTATGTCTTTTTGTTATCTTTTATGTAAAACTTATACAGTTAAAAGATTGACTGCAATAAATGAGTACCTGAAAGTGCAGTTTCCCACGGATACATGGCACCATCGTAACCCCTCATTTTTGCTGTCTCTTTAGCGGCTCCCAGTGTTTTGTTTCGGGTTTTAACAATGACCTTGCCTATCTGACTGTGTAGTAAAAGTATGGACGGATACATCCAAGTTTCTTGGTCCCAGAACACATGACCCATGTAATCCTGCGTTGAAAAGAACAAAAGCAATTCTAATTAAATGAATTATATACATGTATTGTGATGTGCCTTACTTTTAAAACATTTTTTTTCTTCATCCAGATAGAATAATGCTGTAGCTTCCATCCTTGTAGAGTAAGTGTTGAATTTAATAATAAGTCTCCATAATGTAAGGTATTGATACCACAGTAATTTGAGTGAGACTCCATCTGAAATCTATCTGGGTTTTTTAAGGGTATATATAGTTGAAGTGTTTAACAGCATTCGGACAATGCATGTATTAAGAGGCTTTACCTGTACAGAATACCGGGTAATTATCTCCCACAGATGGAAGACGTTTGTTTTATTTGTCTGTATTGCTATTTATTTTTTCACTCTCCACAAGGCATCTCAAAGGTTGTCTCTGATTTTATGATTCTTTTAAAATAGGTTACTCTCGAGCAAGAAAGAACTTAATAACTTTCAAAGCAGCTCTGATTCAAGGCTGCATTGAATTTTTTTCCTTTCAATTTCGTATAAATTCTGGACAGAAATGCTGGGTTGACAAAGGTCTAACCTGCGTGCTCTCTTATTTATGATGTGAAGAACTTTTACCTTATTACCTGATCCATGAGCTAGATCGCCAGGCGACAATCCAACAAAATCGCGGGAATCTTTCAAAGGAAGAGAACTCAAAATATAATACAAAGACGAATAAGCGAGGGTGGCCAAGGTTTTATTTCCGGTAATATCAACGCGCCCAGTCTTCCATACATTTGCCCAGGCGTTTACGTGACTGGATTCTAGGGTCTGGTTGAAGAACATTTCAACACCTACAGGTATATATAAGAAAAACTGCATTTTTAGATTAAAATATTCAGCCTGGCAACAGCACTGAGACTGAAAGCAGTCGTGAAATGTAGATACATGTATATAATTTTCAAAACTGCAAGCAACAGAGCAAACCTTTATTAAATGAATTCTTAGCGATTTCTGGATCTGAATCGATGCTCAGTAGGTAAAGGTGGGTTATTTGCTCAAATGGCTCTACAGTGATTTCCTCCGGTATTATTGTATGTATCATAGTGACGTTCTGTAGTCCTGTGATGTCATATTCACTTTCCTTCGTTCTTCCACTTATGATACTGTATTTAAAGAAAAAAATTCTTCCAATAATCACAATAACATACTGTACCAGATAAAATATAATGGAGTCATCTAGTTCTACCATATATCTTAATTTTTTTCCTCATTGAATTTTCCAAAAACTCCAAAATATCTAAATTATTTTTCAAAATTGTGTACATACAGGCCACGTGCTACCCACAGTGTTGGCTTAATGATGCTTTAATTTTTGTGTCATTTCCTTTGGGGGGGAGGGGTGTTAAATTTTCTTAAAATTTTAATCGTGTATTTTCTTCTTAGAAATCTTTAAGTATAGTGTATTTGCGATTCGCAAACCTAATTCTATTTTTACATCAGAGTGTACACAAATATTAAGTACAATATAAGTAACAAAAAGCCTTAATGATAAATTCCACAAAGATTTGTTGCATCTCAAATTAAAAAGTTATATTTAAACACATTCTAAAAACGAATGTGTGATTTTTGCACAATCTTCTTACTCACGTCTGCTACGCTATATTTTGAAATTATGTGAGCAAGAATGTGAGGATAGATTTTTTTATTATCTCATTAAACAGTTAGAGGTTTAGATTCTTAGAACAAAATATAAAAAGAAATTTCAAACAGTTTAACTTGAAAAATAATTTGGCATATCTTCTGTTGTGTACTACCTTAAATCACCAGTTGGCACAACAAAAGTGTTCAAAGTAAACATCGTCATTAGGGAACTTTTTACCCGATAGAGTGGTTGGTGGTCGAGGTTACTTCTAAGTCTTCAGTATCAGCGATTTTTGTGGTGTTCAAACCTAGGCTAAGGGTGGCTTGTCCTGTATTTTGTACTGTCACCATGGTGACAAGTAACTGTTTTACGGCTCGGTGAGCAAACATTTTCATTTGAATAAAAAATCTCATAGTTTTATATTCCTCGATATACGTAGCTGAAAAGCAGAAAAAAGTCACTGATAAAAATAGCCTATTAGGATCAATCTATATAGGAAAAAATAATAATAAAAGGCGTTATAACGCCTTTCAGAAAGGCGTAATAACGCGAGAAAAGGCAATATAGCATCGTTCGAAGGGCGTAATAACGCGGAAAAAGGGTAATAACGCGAAAAAAGGCGTTATTATACGCTTTTCAAAAAGGCGTTATTACGCCTTTCCAATATCAAAAAGGCGTTATTACGCCTCTCTAAAAGGTGTTATAACGCCTTTCAAAAAGGCATTGTTACGCCTTTTATTTTCAATACATGAATAACTTAGCCCACCCCAGAGGCTGAAATCTTACCCTCGGGACATGAATTTCACAATTAAAATGTAGGTCTAATTTCTTAAAAATAATTTAAACATATTGTAATTAGATTTTCAGGAAAAACGATTTTTAAATGTGTATAATATATTTTCAATGTTTAACCAACTTAATCCTTCTTTGAAGCCAGACACCTCTACCAAGGGTCATGTATGTCACAAATTTGGCTGAAGGCTAATTGCTCATTATACCCATGCAAATAGTCGCCTTCTTTTTTCCAAAAGGAGAGAAAAATATTTTTCCAAATTTGACATGAATTTTTAATACATGGACAGCAAAACCCCAAGCTGCATCTGCCTACATCCTTGATTTTCACAAGGAGAGTGTTGACTTCTCTTAATACGCATGCAAACAGTTGTCTACAAGATGTGCAGAGATATAGAAAATACTTTTAAATATTACATAAATAAATATGGCTTTGATTCAATCTTTCATATATTTATTAATATAAAATAACGCCTTTCCATTTTTGGATATACAGTAACACCTTTTCAAAGAGGCCGGTAGTACGAGTGCAAGTGGGAGGGGGCTCCCCCACCCCACTTTTTGGGAGAATAGTCTTGCTATGGTTTAAATATAAAACTTTTGTTGTAGTATGGTTAAACTCTGGCAAATTATTGCATTTAAAAAAAGTTTTAAAACAAGGTTAGAAAAAGATCCCCCTCGAGTTTAGGCAGTATAGTTTGTTTTTTTTGGGGGGGGGGGGGGTTTCTTGTTTTTTGTTTGCTTTTTGGGGGAGGCTGCCCCCCATTCAAAAGCACGGGCTTGTCAAAGGCATAATAATGGATCTTCAAAAGGCGTAAAAAAGCCTTTTGGAAAGGCATAATAACGCCTTTAAGAAAGGCGTATTAACGCCTTTTAGAAAGGCGTAATAACGCCTTTTTGAAAGGGGTTATAACGTCTTTTAAAAATTTTCTCCATAGATTGATCCTAACACGCTTTCGTACCTTTAATGCTAAAACAGCTTAAAATATGTGCAGTAAAAGTAAGTTAGGATTCCTTAATCCCCTAATTGAAAAAAAATTCAATCAAAATAATTCTTAAATCTTGAGAGCATTTCAATTTCATTTTTTACTATTATTTCATGTCTTTAACAGGCGGGGGTGGGTGGGTGGGGGAGAGGGTTGCCCCCTCTTTTTTCTAAACAAAACCTTTAACTATTGGAAATGTATATTGAAAGCCCACCCCCACCCCCCAACCCCCACTTTTCGTTGTAGCATTAATATTGTTAAATCATAGTAATGTGATAATGCATTAATAAATTAATAAAATATGGTTGTGAAGGGAAGTTGGACCCATGTGAAATAATATTGACCGAAGACTCGGTAAATGATATCGATCAAGTTTGTACCTTGTCATTTGACTTCGTCCTTATACCCACATATTTACCATATGCTGAAGCCCATTGTAGTTAATATGTAATCAGTGCTACAAACTGATAATGTGGAACTACCGGTGTCATATAGTGAGACTTCCCCCCAAAAGTCTGGCCATATATAGTGAGACCTCCCCCTGGGGAGAACAATGACCAGATAGTGAGCTTTCTCCCTTAACAACCAAAAGTGAGGTTTCCCCCTTCCGTGTTTGGTTTGGATTTTATTTCCATCGGCGATGGAACCGTTTTATCAATCTGATTAAAATACAGATCTCTTCATAGCGCAAAGCGCACTGCGCTTTGCGCTATGAAGAGATCTGTGTATTTTAATCAGATTGCCGTTTTATATAAATCATTTACAGTATTCTTTATTTACCTCTGGAAGTCCAACATTAATGAATGATATAAATATCATAATAGAATCGGTTTCAAAGTGTTTCAGTACTTGTATATAATTTATTTCAGCGCTAAAATTAAATGGCAATGTTTTAAGTACGATATCTGCTGAGTACAGATATATGTAAAAAATGAAACATTTCTAGGCCCCATCTTACATTTTATACAAGTCGCCCGCGTGACGAAGTGGTTAGAGCGTTTGCTCTAGAGTCGCGGTGTAAGGACACGGGTTCGAATCCACTGCGGTTCGTGAAGACCTGCCCATATCGGATGAGACCGTATAAACCGACGTCCCGTGTCGAAGTAGGTGCTGGCACGAAAAAGATCCCTCACTGCTCAATGGCCCTAAGTATCGAGTATATTTAAGCTTACATAATGCTAATTTTTACATATCTGAGAAATAACATATGAAGATTCTGTTGTTATCACCATTCATATATAGATTGTATTATTGAATGGTGAAACAAATAGGGAAACTTAATTATTAAAAAAAAATTACCATTAAAAATTTGCAACTCAATCATTTGACAAATATTATAATCGGATAAATTTACAATGTATTATATTAACTGTAGTTTGAGCCCAACTTGGCCAGATAGTATGCTCCGGGCAATGGAATGACTCGGGCGGACGGACGGACAGGCAAACAGACAAATCACTACAGGGAGCCCGCTGAAAGGGGCCCTGAAACAATGCAATTTAGTAAAGATGTCTACTTGTAACAATTATGTACGTATACGTACCCTTTTCTTTCAATTATCTCACTTACCCAATATATGTAATATCAAAATTATTTATGGCTAACAAACTGTTCAAACGCTATTAAAATGTTTTAATTATTAATTCATATGACGGAGAACTTTTATTCAAACACTTAAAACATTAGTTAAAAAAAAAACAATTGTTTTAAAATGAAAAAAAAAATCATTCCGGAAACTATATTTGAGGAGGGAAGTCTCGCTATGAAGAGGGGAAGACTGGCTATATAGGGACCCCCCCCCCCCGAAGACTGGCTATATAGTGAGTCTCACTTTATAGCCAGACTCGGGGGGGGGGGGGGGGTCTCACTATGTAGCCATTTTTTCCGGGGGAAGTCTCACTATATACATGTAGCAAGTCTTCCGGTGGAAGTCTCACTATGGGTGAAGTCTCACTATACGATACCGGTACATATAAGAAAATTTAAGTCCTAAGACATTCTTTTGGAATCTAAATATTCCTGTAAAGCATTGACTTCTAGCTTTATTAATGGTTTATTATTTCTAGCTGTCATATTCGCCATTGTCTTCAAATTAAAATCCACTTTATCAGAGTTGCTAATCCGCCAAATCAAACGGACAAAGGGAGTTTTAACACAGACCGATGTCGAAATGGCACTTATATAACTTCACAGCATCACATTGCCGTACTTAATAAAAAATAAGATTTTATTTATGAAACACTGATGTCCGCATATGACAATTCCTATCAAAGGTTAAACTTTCTCAAATGCAAATCAAACATGTTGGTACCCAAAGTAAGGTACTGTCTCGAGGAATATAACTGTACATGTGAAATATGAAATATGAAAGCCCTAGCAACAACCATTGAATAGATATGGAAAAGGTTAAAGTTTTCAAAAGTAAGTCAAACATAAAGGTCAAGTTCAAATGGTCAAAATTAATAGTGTCCAAGGAAAGCCCTTCTCACAAGAAATACATGTGTGAAATATAAAAGCCATAGCAACAACCGTTCAAAAGTTATGGCCAAGGTTAAAGTCTTTCAAAAGTAGGTCAAATTCCAAGGTCAAAGGATCAACGTTGGTGGTATCCAAAGTAAGGTCTTGTCACAAGAATTACATATGTGAAGTATGAAATCCCTAGCACCAAGTCACCAACTATTCAAAATTAATTGCCAAGGTTAAAGTTTAACAAAAGTAGGTCAAACTCCAAGGTCAATGTCAATGGGCTAAAATTGTTGGTATCCAAAGGAAGGTCTTGTCACAAGGAGTGCACATTTTAAATATAAAAGCCCTAGCACCAACTCTTCAAAAGTTATGACCATGGTTAAAGTTTTTCAAAAGTAGGTCAAACTCCTAGGTCAGGTCAAAGGGTCAAAGTTGTTGAAATCCAAAGGAATGTCTTGTCACAAGGATTACACATGTGAAGTATGAAAGCCCTAGCTTCAACTGTTCAAAAGTTATGGTCAAGGTTAAAGTTGGGTAAAATTTTCCAAAAACTGGGTCAAACTCCAAGATCAAGGTCAAATATGATGGTACCCAAAGAAAACTCTTGTCACAAGGCAATGAAACTTATGAAAGCCATAGCTCCAACCAATCAAAAGTTATGGGCAAGGTTAAAGTTTTTGCGGACAAACAGACAGACAGATGGACAGAGCAAAAACTATATGCCCCTGATTACAGGGGCATAACAATTAAATAGAAACCCTTCAGAACTTGGAATTGGAAGCAATTTACTAAAAACAGGATTTACAACACTACTAAATTTGTATATAGAAAAATTGCATTTAAATAGTGAAAAAAATTCAATTTCTTCTATAAGATGGATCATTTACCAGGTAGTAATATAATCATGATACAGTTAAGTTTTTTTCAAATCCGTTAATTTTTCTGGAATAAAATATATAACATAAAGTACAAAATCAACTGAAATGATAACCTACTAGTATACCTGCTGCTAAATCAAGACTATAGTTGAACTTGGGATGGCTGTTACTTTTTATGCCTATGTCTTTTATAAATGCAGCTGGCATTTTGGCACGATGGCTAGTTATGTTATGTCCATTGTAAAGTCCATTCATAAAGACTCCTTCACCTTTAACCACAATTGCAACTTGGCCATTTCCAATGGACGGCATGAGACGATCATCCAGTGGCAGACTGAAAGGCGTAAAGAAACAAAAGGGATCATAAGTTTAAGTGGGTAATCTCAAACAAAATATATTGGTATTCATCTGATAGTTATTTTTCGGGAGAGTATGATTGATTGATTGTTGTTTTACGTCCCGTTTGAGAACTTTTCATTCATATTGAGACGCCACCATATACCAGTGTAGGGCCTTTACTCGGCACTCGGGGCAATTCGAGAGCATGATCTCTGACATAGCTTATAAACATAAAGATATTATATGTTATATGTATTCCTTACTTGCTGAGTGTCTTACGTTGGCATTTGCATTTAACAGCTGTAATGGTTATGGAACAAATTAAGATTAGTCATGGTGTAAACATTTTGATGTTTATCTAAATGAACTATACCTTTCAGTAGATAATGTTGTGATATCTGGGATCATGTAGGGAGAAGTTATGGTTGACACACTTTTCAAACTGATACTTTTTCCTCCATGTGACAAAACAACCATATCCCCGGGACTGCATCCCGTAAATTCATCTCTTATTCCGAAGAAGATAACTTTACACAACAAAGTTTTAACAAAGGTTATTGCAGCAGCCAACAGCATTTTGGAGTCCTTATTTAGGCATGTTTTTGTTGACAATATTTCCAACTCCCATGATCTCTGGTAAAGAATAAGACCTAGTAGATTAATTCATCATGTAATAATACTGTTATTTATCACTGTTAAAGAAATCCACGTATCTTAACTGCATATCGATTGTATTGTACAAAGTTCACCATGGTAAGTAACATGGCGGTCTTACATCCTGGCGCCATATCCTATCAAATGCAGCATCGGATTGTTACAAATTTGGCAGAAACTGGAATTTGTCCAAGTTCGATATGTGCTAGGCCAGTTACGCAATATTGTCCCCTAATGCTTGTCAAACATGCCCTCCAGGGAGAGGTTGTAGACAACGGGGAATAACTCCTGCAATCCTCTTCACTTTGTCAGGGTAAGGCCATCTTTAAAAAATTGTTTGTGTGCCCTCTCCCGGCCGATTACCTAAAAATGGCCCGACTCAAACTTTTTTTACATTCCAGAAAACGATTTTTTTTCCTTTTTATTCCTATTATCCTGTATTATCCTGTCAACAAATATATGTTGAAATTTTTGTTTGTACTGCACAAACCTGTGCAACTGATTTAAGTTTCTTTGGTAACTTTTTCTTCTGTCGTGGAAGAAGCACACAGTTACCCTTGTCGCTACCGAAAGTTTAACAATAGCTATGTAGAATACGTCTATCCACACCGGGGAGAACTTCCTACACTGAACCGAGACCAATTAAGTGAACGGCTTATATAGGGGCCGTACAGCTAACGAAAATTGCAAAGTAACATGGCAGACAAACATAGATCTCTGCCTTTTATGAATCGTGTTCGGCATATAAAAAGCACCTCATCATAATGAAGACCCATCACATATGGCAGCTGTTTCATTCCATTCACTTGAGTCGCATTAGTTCTTAATAAGTGATGCTGTAATGAAATCTAAAATAACCTGTGGGTGTAATGAGCCTCCTTAAGGTATAACGTAAAGACTGTAGTAAAACAAGCAGAGTATTTTTATCTCGGAGATTTTAGAAGTTTTAAAAGTTAACTAATGATTTATAATATCGTTGTTTATTGTTAAAAGGTGACACCATTTAAATGTGAGTACAACTACAAAGAAAAAATATAGTTAAAATCGAGCTAGTTCAATTAAGTAGCTAAAACTATGTATATTGTTTATAATTAAGTACAATCCTACGTACATGTATATTACATTACAGTACCATATGGTATCAATTTATGATAAAACTATACTGTAAATGGGACAAGTATAAAAATTACAATACACTGATACAACTTTAAAATCACCAAAAATAATATCACGCTGCATGGACAAGAATGTAAAACTACATACATTACGAACATTTTGACAAATATTTCAAAAGATAAATCTCAGAATAATTTAGGTAATATTTGTACAGAAGTTGAATAGCACATTTGAGTTGCCCAAAATTCTGCTGACAATTTTTGTACGTTGGTCACTTTATTTAATTGATTATCATCTCTATCCATGTTTGCGCAGTAGACTTGAAATGTATGTAGTGTGTGATATTTACCTCCATACTTAACATGATTACAGATTTATAGTGTTTTAATGGTTTAACTGCGCTTGGATCATAGAATTTTATGGAAACTTGCATGTATTAGTTCAAACATTTGTATATCGGTTAAGAAGTACCATTTAATATTAAATTTAGAAAGTTAAAAATTCTTATTTTCAAAGGAAATTGATATACATGTAATTGATTAAATAAAGACAATGAATAGATTTTTTGTAAGTTTCGCGTGATACCGTAATGGTGCACTGTGATGCACCGTGTACACAACGTGTTAAACATAGCAAAAAAAACCCTAACTTCAAACACACCGACATTTATCGAGGTCCGCGCAAGAGAGTGGACTTTCGGTCCACGAGGCCCCGTGAAATACTCGTGGCCGGTATGTATATTACATAACAATACCATGTGGTATGAATTTATGATAAAACTATGCTGTAAATAGGACAAGTATAAAAATTACAATACATGTACATGTACACTGATACAACTTTAGAATCAACAAAAATAATATCACACTGGATGGACAAGAATATTACAAACAATTACACTGTAGACTAAGTACATGCAACACCGACTGACCGCATCAGTACATTATTTGAGTTGAAAGTATCTTAACCAGGTACTATTTTAAAATTTTGCAATTTCATAGGAGTACTGTACAACGACATGTTGGAGAAGTGGTGTTTATCAAATGTGGATTCAAAATATAAACTCCAAGGAACTTTTAGAAAATTTGAAATCACATATTTTACTAAAATCGATAGCATTAAAATTTAAAATGTACGAGGTTTCAACATTTATACAACCATTTCTTACGATAAAGTAAAGACAAGGCTTTTTGACAATACAGACTTCTTCTTCAATAAAAATGGAACTCGTAAATTTGCACAGCTTGTCATTGGTCATCTGCAAACTTATTTGCATGGTTTAAAAACTCCAATTCTGCACACAAGTTTCCCAAGGTTGATATCAAAAAGATGCCTTAGTTTCGTTTTGAAAATATCTCTGTAGTTTTTGGAGACTTAGTCTTGTAAGAATAACCCATCTTCCCATGTCAAGGGTTTCACTCCGCTCCACATAAACCCTTGACCGAATAGGCTAAGTTTGGCGGGGTTTACTATCGCGCCGTCTAGTGAGATTACACATTTTGAACTGACTTCTGCTATTGACCAAGTCGGTAATAAATTCTAAATTCAACTAAAAAGCTGAGACAAGCCTTTAACTGAGTTATTTAATGGTAATGATGTTTTCGTTGGGACTAAAGCTGGCGTGTTTTTCTATTTACGATCTACATGTAGTTTCAGGTTTTAAAAAAAACAATGTTTATAATTGGCTCATGCAAACTTGTGACTGAGGCCAGTCAGAGAGAACATTTCTAACCCCGTCAAACCTAGACTATTCCGTCAAGGGTTTATGTGAAGCAGAGTGGATCAGAAACCCTTGACATGGGAAGATGAGAATAACCATGGGTACTTATTGTGTCCTGTTATAAGCAACCCTATTTTTGGTATCCTGAAGCAGAATATATTCAAAAACTTCTACATTAAAAACATGACATATTAATTTGTATGGTGACCGTAATATACCGGTATAAACCAAAAATACTTATCTAATGATTACTGGTAGGATCTAACAAGTTTGATTTATATAGCACATTTCTTTTCTGATATATATGCAAGTTTAATGGATTTCTTTTCAATTTTGTCAGTCTTTAAAATATACCTGCGATTTTTTTGAAAAAGTTGTCCAATTAAAAGTCTTTTTGTCCTTGCAGGGGATGTAGGAATTTGCATGTGGGTGTATATCTTCGTCTTTTAACAATATAACAATGAACGGAGATGTCTGAAGCTTTTTATAGATATGAAGTAGTTTAAACATTCTATTGTGACATCCTTTTCAGAAAATCAAACGACACGCGGTAATAATACCCTGTTTGCTTATCAACAGCGATAGCTTCCAACTCTGTTCCTCGACAGACCATACGCACTCCCAGTTCTCTTTTCCCACTAGATGCAATAGCCTGTTGTAAGTGAATGGTCAATTGTCCAATATTTTGACACTCTTCATCACAATACCTTGGGTTCTTCTTTGATGATCGATACACTTTCCAAAACACTTCTGGATTATTTGTATCAATCACATAAAAGTTGTGCAATGTCAATTCCTTAGCAATATAAATGGTTTCTCCGATTTCAATATGTTTATCAAATGCAGTAGTGACTACTGCTTTACCTTCTTTTGTTATGGTTTTCTTTCTCTCTTCATCTTCTTTGGGATTGAATTGGCGTCTTGTTTTCAACCCATAAGTAAAGGGGCTTATTCGGGCTGAAATGGATTTGGGGTTATGACCAAAAATCACTGCACCCTTTAAAACAGCACTTCCAGCCTCATGCGGGACAATCACCTTTTTATCATTGAAAGCTTTCGTGATTTTTGAGTTTACAATGTTCGATTCTGCAAAACCTCCAACGAGTAAAATAGTGTGAAGTCCAGCAGCTGTTGGAATTTGGAGAATTTCTGTAACATGTTTAATGATTGAATCGATGGTTTGTTTGAAAAAATCATTCAAAACGCTTGATTTTATTTCGATAATATTATTCTCAAGAAAGACAACTTTGTTTTCCAAGGATGTTTGCTTTGTTATATCCCTCAAGGATGATTTTGACTTTTTGGCATGTAATTCGGTTAAGTGAGAAGGTAACTGAATCATCAGGCTTGTATCCGGGGTCATTGTTCTTTTCTCTTGCTCGAAATCTTGTTGAAATTTCATCCACTCGAACATATGTTGATGTTTGAATTCTTCAAAAATATCCTTTCCAACTAGCTTTTCCACCAGAGAGTAAAAAGCATCGTCTATTCCTACACCACCCCAATCCCCACCACTTGGCGCATGCAGTTGTTTTAGACTTCCGTCAGAAAGAACTTCCTGAAGTGTGACGTCAACTGTGCCACCTTTAAAAGTAAATTTCATTACAGGTTCACAGCATTATAACACTAAGTAGTCTGATACTTTGAAATTAAATTACCACTGTCAGATAAATTAAGACTATACCTCCAAGATCAAGAACCATGAATTTTTGTCCAGGGTTGAGAGCAGTGATGAAATCGGTGCTCCTTGCATCTACGGAGACTTCTTTGCAAAATACTGATGCCACCTCTGGTTCATATGCTAATAAAAGTTGACTGTCTCCAATACCCGCCTAAAGTAAAGAAAAAAAAGAAGTGTTTTATATTTGATCATTGAGTCTTTTTCAGTTTTTTATAAAGTTTGGGAATTCTCACCGCACGTGCTGCATCTCTCATATACTGCTTTGCAGCTTCTGACCAAATGGCAGGAACGGTTATCACCCACCGAATATCTGACTCTCCGATCCCTTCATACCCACGCTTTTTAATGGTTGCAAGAAGACGAGACTTTAAACACCCAATTGCCATTTCAAAAATTGAAATCGCTCTAAACTTTTTCCCTTTGATGTCCTCCAGCATTGTATACTCTGCCAGTTCCTGCAATTGGAAACAAAACAAATTTCAGCTGTTGCATTTGTCAAACGATTAGCAAGTTAACTTTGAATGTTTTAAGATCGGGGAAGGCACTGGGTAGTTTTCCAGGGACATAATAGTCATGTATTTTGATTTAAAAAACAAAAGGTAACTTAGGAGGAAACAATTTTTTTTTTTTGAAGAATCACAGTGACAAATCTTACCACATGTCTATGCAATGTCATCTTGAAGCGCCGGAAGTAATAATATTCTTCGTGCTCTTTTTTGGCTGCCAGTCTGGCATATTCCTTCTCCGCCTCTAATCCAAAGGAATGGAACTGTCTTTGTGGGTCAATCAGTACAGTGGTCGGTTCCTGCAGTGACGTCGTCTTGTCTCCCTTGTTGTTTTGATTTGCGAAGATGTACAGAGGATTTTTTTCATCGTAGTCTTTCTTCGAAGAATACATTACGCCACAGTAAGTAGTCCCAAAGTCTATGGCAGCGGACAGTTTGTAGTCTTCACGCAAGGCACTCATTTTGAGCTTATATTGAAAATAAATAAAGTAAAAAAAGGAAATCTTACTACTGCTTAAAGATAGCTCGAAAAATTAAAGCATGTTAAAGACTAAAGAGGACATACAAATGAAAATAATTCTTTATCGAAATTAAAACATTAATTTTTATGATAATTTAATTAACCTTGATCCGTTAGCTAACTTAAATTCTTAATAAACTATTGCCATGAGATAAAATCATTTAAAATATAAAAATCGGAATAATACTACCTTGTTTACAATTTGACGAGGCGCTTTCCAATAAAATGGGTAAGCATAAATCTCTCGATTTGGTGATATACAATCTATAAATGAAAGCAAACACAAAGCGATATTGGTTTGTATTCATGTGCTATCAACACATATTTAAAAAATTTGGAATGGGTTAGTCCAATTTCATCTTTATATTTTTTATAGCTTTCAATCTTCTAGACATATAAGTATACAGAATCAACGGAGTATAACCTGCAGCTTTTATCTAAAATACCTTCAAGGAGAAAAAAAATCAATGAACAGAATATTGCATGGATTTTATAGATGATAATGGTATGAAAAGAATAAGAATAATGAATAAGAATTTTAAAATCATTTGAAAAACTTCTTTTTATATTCTTACGCTGATCTGAATTAAAAATCAAATATATGGTCGATTAACCATACAGCGTAAAAGAGATGAGCGAACAAGCCGAGAAGAATGCCTGTTGTTCGACAAAAGAAAGTTAAAATTGAATCTCAATTATAACGAAGTTTTCTCTATTTCAGTTGACATTAATGTATACTTGACGTAAAAGCTCCACAATTTGCAACAATCACACAAATGTTGAAATTCATCGTCGGAACCCACGGGTTTTCTCTCCGTTACACTATACATTCACATCGTCGGAACCCACGGGTTTTCTCTCCGTTACACTATATATTCAACTGAATGTAGTGTAACGAAGAGAAACCCGTGGGTTCCGACGATGGTTGAAATTATTCGTCAATAAAACAACATGCACACATCAAAGAGGGCAGAAACGATCATTTCTTCATACCTTTTCACAATTTTTCTATATAATTGGGTCTTCTCTCCATTTTTTTCGAAGTATGTTTAGAAATATACATATAATTAAAATTAACGATATATTACCGGTATATCCATTTCAGTTTGTTAGACATGTTCGAATGATATGCATTAAAATTTCAAATATATCATGATATATATGCATTTCAAACATTTAAAATTTTAAACTGCAAAAATGGGCCGGGGTCTCGGAGCAAGTCAAAATTTAGTAATTTAAAAGCAATACTTTAAATAATGTACAATTGGTAGTCATTTAATTATCTGTGAAAAGACACTAAAATGGGGGGGGGAAATGTTGTTAAGTGTAATCCGTGGTAACAAAACGTTGATTTTAGATTTCAGTAACTTGAGTTCCATTTAATCAGATGGAATGAAACTCCACACATCAACAAAATAAATATTTTTTTAATGTGATAAGGCGCTGATCTTCAATTTCTTGGGGGAAAAAATGAAACGAAGACTTGTATTGTCCGCGAGCTTTCCGAACAACCCTCGTATGTATGTTTTTTTGCCACAACTGTTAACTTATTAATAATATAAACATTGCATGAAAAACTTAATTATGAAATTAAATTTTGTACTTTTTACACAATGGAGCCATACTAGTTCTCTACAACTTACAAGGTGCATAAGTAATACATTACACTACATTTCGACATTGACTAGCCTTTTTTTCAATTTGTCAGCATTATTGAAACAAATAATTTATGATCATTATATTAGTAAAGAAATGTTTTTGAAAACAAGTGTGACAGTCCTAAAAATGTCCTTGAAAACTTGCTAATATAGAAGATATTCGATGTAGTTGGAAGGGGAATCAATTTTACATGTATTTATTTATTTATTTTTATTTTTTTTAATTTTTTTTTTTATTTTTTAATTTTTTTTTTTGATATTTTCATTAGTGCGTAGCAGAAATGAAAAATATTTTTATTTTAAAAACCCTGCCTCATACATGGCAAGTCAAAAGTTGCAATATTTGGTACTTTCCCATCTGTATTGTAAAGAATTTTATATGTATATAAAAGAGGGTGTTGCAGTTCTTTTGTTATTTTCCCTAAAGTTGTAGCAGTTTAAATGAAAAATTTTAAGTAACAGAAAACGGTCTTAATTTTTTTCAGATACAACGGTATATACAGCACAATGCACATGTACAACAATATTTAGAAACTTCATATCGACTTCCAATTTGCCATTAAATGAAGTGTAAATTAGTCACATAGCAAAATAAGTCAAGTTTTCTGTTTTTCAAATAGGGAATCCCCATTGTTCTGAAAAAGTGCCTCCTTGAAACAGAATGAATTTGATATACGCATAAAGAGACAGGATTTTTCTTCAAACTGCCATTTCCGATTTTTATTTCAAAGAGGCATATTCTTGAAAATCACAAAAAATCGAATAAAAATTATTATCCATCCGAAATGCAAAATGTGCACTTAAAATAGCATATATACTTCACTGTCGGAACTGGTCTAGTGGTAAAGCTATGGACCCTATGCAAAGATTCTTTTACCTGAGAATTGATTCGAATCCTGGAATGGCTGGTATATATATACATATTTTTTTTCTCATATAATGGAAGTACAATGTAACATTTCTTTTGAGAGAGAAAGAGAGAGGGAGAGAATGTCAGAAAATTAATGGGTAATATTTTAAATGCATGCAGAATTAAATTGTTTTCCTTGATATTGTGATCTAAAACTAATAAGACATATATTTAATTTTATTATTTAGTGGCGATTTCTTAAAAAATAAAGTACTATCATTTTAAATAATTTAATTTTTTCATAGGCATTTCGTTTCATTATTGTTCTGTTAATTAGTTGCTCAGATTTGACTTAAAACAACTAAAATTGAAATAACTCAATGAAATTTCTTGGATATTGCATCAACGGCGTGATTATTGGACACATTTTTATATATTGAAAAATATTAACGCACACAGTCTACAGTACATCTTTCAAAATGATGTGCGAGGTGCACTTGCCATTTATTGTGATTTTAATCGTTCTAACTTTTCTCGTGCAATATGGCGACAGTGACCATAGATGTGAAAAAAAGGTTTACTTACAGGTCGCTAGTCTATGTTAGGAAAATACTATGCATGAAATAAACGTAAAATGTTAAATGTTTTGTTATGACAAGCTGGACATACCCGCTGTATAAATAAAGCCATCTACGTAGCATTATCTATATTTAGAGATATATCTTCATGCGTCGTGGATATTTAAATGTCCTTCTCGATATAGGGAATAATCACGGGTTTCTGCAACACCCACCTTATTTTTTTATTCTACATTTTCCATTTGTATGTTTGTAATTTTCCATTTGTATTCTATATTTTCCATTTGTATTGTAAAAAATTTCATTTGTGTCATAATTTCTTATTTGTATTCTAATTTTCCATTTGTATTTTATAATTTCCCATTGTATTTTATAATGTTCTATTTGTATTGTACATGTAAAAAACTTCATTTGTATTCTATATTTTTCATTTATGTTGTACAATTTTTTATTTAAACTTGTATAATTTCTTATTTGTATGCGATAATTTTTCATTTGTATTGTATCTTTGTTCATTATGAAGGATTTTTATGGTCAAGTTTTAGCCTGCATCGTGTTGTTCAAAGTCGAACTAGATATTCCGGGCGCTCAGCGCAAGGTAAACTGATTCCCTATTTGCGTGCGTATTATCGACATACGTCGTGTCATCAAGACAACACTATCCTCTATCCCCAATGGACGCATTTCAACAAAATTTTTATTTTTACTGATACGCGCTATGAACAGTAGGGGGAAAAGTGCCGCTTGATTTTGAAGGACCTTTCCGTAACTTTTTGGTGCATTTTTTATGACCCCATAATCGAAGATTCAGGGGTATATATTTTTGCCCTGTCCGTCCGTCTGCCTGTTTGTTTGTCTATCTGTTTGTCCGCAAAACATTTTCTATAACTCTTGATTGGTTGGAGCTATGGCTCTCATATTTCAAATGTGTATTCATTGACAAGGCCTTTCTTTGGGTATCACAACTTTCGAACTCTTGGCCATGGAGTTTGACCCAATTTTGCAAGAATTTACCCAACTTTTACCCTGGCCATAACTTTTAAAGAGTTAGTGCTAGGGCTTTCATACTTCACATGTGTATTAATTGTGATAATGCCTTTCAACGAATATAAATATTTTTGACCTTGAACTTTGAATATGACCCACTTTTAAAAAACTTTAACATTGGTCATAAAATTTGAACAGTAAGTACCAGGGCCTTCATATTTCACAGGTGTATTTCTGTGGCAAGGCCTTCCTTTGAATACCAACAGTTTTGGCCTTTTGACCTTGACCTTGGAGTTTAACCTACTTTCGAAAAACTTTAACCTTGGTCATAACTTTTGAACAACTGGTGCTAAGGCTTTAATATTTCAAGTGTATTTCTTATGACAAGGCCTTCCCCTTGGTACCTTTAATTTGTACCTTTGACCTTAACCTTTGAGTTTGAGCCACATTTAAAAAACTTTAACCTTGGCCATAACTTTTGAATGGTTAGTGCTTGGGCTTTCATATTTTACAGGTATATTCATTGAAAACAAGTCCTTTCTTTGGGTAACTGCATTTTTCATGACCTTGGAGTTTGACTTGCATTTGAAGAACTTCAACCCTCGCCAAAAGCTGTCATACAGGGCCATCAGTGTTTCACAAACACATCTTGTTTTAATCCTGGAATTTTCCACTGCTCTACCTAACAGAAACAAAGAGTGTGTGTATGTGTGTGAGGGGGGGGGGGGGGGCAACCAATATATAAATGAAAATTTACTACAGCAAAATACTATACTCAGAAAAAAAGTGCCCCCCCCCCCCCCGGCATTCTACGGGCCTGTGTCTGGTTACAAGTTGATAGATTTTAAAGTGTTTTATATTTATGCCCCGTAATCGAAGATTCGGGGCATATAGTTTTTGCTCTGTCCATCCGTCTGTCTGCTTATCTGTTTGTCCGCAAAAACTTTAACATTGCAAATAACTTTTGATTGGTTGGAGCTATGGCTTTCATATTCCACATATGTATTACTTGTAACAAGGCCTTTCTTTGGGTACCATCATATTTGACCTTGACCTTGGAGTTTGACACAGTTTTGCAAAATTTTACCCAACTTCAACCTTGGTCATTACTTTTAGACGATTGGTTATAGGGCTTTCATACTTCACATGTTTAATTCTTGTGACAAGACCTTCCTTTGGATATCAACATGTTTGACCCTTTGACCTTGACCTACTTTTGAAAAATTTTAGCCTTGGCCATAACTTTTGAGGGTGGTGCTAGGGCTTTCATACTTCACATATGTAATGCTTGTGACAAGAGCTTCCTTTGGATACCAACAACTTTGACCTTGACGTTGGAGTTTGACCCAGATTTGCAAATTTTACCCAACTTTAACCTTGGTCATAACTTTTTAACTGATTGGTTATAGGGCTTTCATACTTCACATGTTTAATCCTTGCGCAAGGCCTTCCTTTGGATACCAACAAGTTTGACCCTTTGACCTTGACCTTGGAGTTTGACCTACTTTTAAAAAACTTAAACCTTGGCCATAACTTCTGAAGGGTTGGTGCTAGGGCTTTCTTACTTCACATATTTAATCCTTGTGACAAGAGCTTCCTTTGGATACCAAACTTTGACCCTTTGACCTTGACCTTGGAGTTTGACCCAGGTTTGCAAAATTTTACCCAACTTTAACCTTGGTCATAACTTTTGAACGGTTGGTGCTAGGGTTTTCATACTTCACATGTGTAGGCTTTGTGACAAGACCTTTCTTTTAATACCAACAATTATAGCCCATTGACATTGACCTTGATGTTTGACTTATGTTTGGAAAACTTTAACCTTTTCCATATCTATTCAATGGTTGCTGCTGGGGCTTTCATATTTCTCAGGTGTATTCCTCGAGACAAGGCCTTACTTTGGGTGTGAACAGATTTGACTTGTATCTGAGAAAGTTTAACCTTCGCTATAAGTTGCCATACGAGGGCTTCAGAGTTTCACAAACACATCTTGTTTTATCGTATAACTAACATAAATGTTGGGAAAATAGCTCTTTGTTTTAATGTAACTGTGAGTTGTGGTACATAAAATATATACTTACAGTTTTCTTGCATAAAACACAATATTTAAGAAAGAGTAACACCCTATCCACCCCCTCCCGAAGTAGGTTCTTCGAATTTTCAAGCATTATTTGTCTTATCTCCACTTAAAAAAAACAATGCTAAGTCGCAACGGGAATGTCGCACCATGGTGAACGATGGGAAAAAAGCATAATTCTACTTCTATCATGTACCAGGTCATTGATGACAAAATCAATTGTTTCTGGTTTTATTCAACATTTTCATTTATACAAAAAAAATCTTTCCGAATATCAATACCCATAGTATAATTTAAATATCATTTACATGTAGTTACAAATTAGATTTTATGTCATGCCAAAAGCGATCACAGAATCAATGCATGGTATACTTATTTTCTTCTTTTTTAAAATCCATTTTGTTAATCATAACTGGAAAAAAAAAAAATAGTAAGACCGTATGAGTCCAGTCGTCATAAAAAAGAATAATACAATAAAATTGCATTGCTTAGTTTATAGTCACATCCATTGATATGTATGATGTATATTCACCTGGATAGAGGTTCATTGCTTAGGCCAATAAAACTCCATAGCTACTTCTAATAAAATTTCGAACTTCCAATAAAAGGTCATGCGTTGGGTTAAGTTAAGGTAAACAGAGTTTTGTGGTATCTAAAAGTAATGTCAGATATCGTAATGGAAAAAAGAAGCCTGTTTATCATTAATATCTTTTTTACTCAATTCAAGTTTACGGCGGTAGTAGAAAAATGGACAACAAATTAAAATTTAATTTTAATTGAGAGTATGGTGGCATGCGCGATATTTATGTAGACATGTAATTTATTTATGTCAACATGTGAGTTACATGTAAATTAGCCAACATGCAATGACTTATTATTTTGTATCTCTTTGGATAATTATTAGACAAAACATAAAAGAAAGAATTAGATTTAAATCACGTAGTGCTTACCTCCATTTAAGCCATTAGTTTTATATCATGATCAAGGTTCTGATCTCTAGTGGTTCAAAGTTTACTTTCATTTTACAACACTACATAAATGAGTTTAATGATTTACAACTTTTTACGTAGATATATCTACATGACAGTGTGTAAAACGTAGCAGTGATCGACAAAAGTTTCATTCAATGTCGCATTTTCATTGTCATTGATACTATTCAAAAATGTTTTTTATGCCCTCGTATCGAAGATTCGGGGGTATATAGTTTTTGCCCTGTCCGTCTGTCTGTCTGTTTGTCCGCAAAAACTTTAACCTTGCCCATAGCTTTTGTTTGGTTGGAGCTATGACTTTCATATTTCACATGTGTATTCCTTGTGACAAGACCTTTCTTTGGGTACCATCATATTTGACCTTTTGACCTTGGAGTTTGACCCACTTTTGCAAAATTTTATGAGACTTTAACTTTGGCCATAACTTTTGAATGGTTGAAGCTAGGGCTTTCATACTTCACATATGTAATCCTTGTGACAAGACCTTCCTTTGGATACCAACCATTTTGATCCTTTGACCTTGACCTGGGAGTTTGACCTACTTTCGAAAAACTTTAACCTTGGCCATAACTTTTGAACGGTTGGTGCTAGAGCTTTCATACTTAACATATGCAATCCTTGTGACAAGAACTTCCTTTGGATACTAACCACTTTGACCCTTTAACCTTGACGTAGGAGTTTGACCTACTTTCGAAAAAATCTAACCTTGGCCATAGCTTTTGAATGGTTGGTGCTAGGGCTTTCATACTTTACATATGTAATCCTTGTGACAAGACCTTACTTCGGATACCAACAACTTTGACCTTGACCATGACGTTTTACTTACTTTTAAAAAACTTTAACCTTGGCCATAACTTTTGAACAGTTGGAGCTAGGGCTTTTAAATTTAACAGGAATATTCCTCGAGTCAAGACCTAACTTTGGGTACCAACATTTTTTATCATTTGGCCTGGATTTTGACTTGCATTTGAGAAACTTTAACCTTTGCCATAAGCTGCCATACTGGGGCATCAGTGTTTCACAAACGCATCTTGTTTTTAATTAAAAATAATGTTCAGATACTGTTTACATGCACACTTGTATTTACAGAATGTGTCTATAGCTGGTTTTTTAAAGGCGTTATTACGTCTTTTAATTTGGCGTAATATCACAAAGTGAAAGGAGTTGTAACGCGCGAAAAAAAGGTGTGACAACGTGAAATGAAGAGGTGTAATAGGTCTTTTGAAAAGGTGTAATTATGTGCATCAAAAGGCTTTTGCTAATCAAGGAATCGTAGCTTGCACGTCGAGACTTTAATTAGAATTTCAAAAGTATATGAATTTTCAATCATGACCATCACAGCCCTAACTGGGGGTTTGTACCCAGAGCACACGAATGTCATAATAATGTACGGGAGTCAGGCGCCCACTTAAAATCATGTAGATTGTCCTACTAGAGTGACATATAAAGAATATTTTTTCGAAGGTGTATTTTCAATTTATGATCAACTTTGCCCCACCCTCGCTTGAACCCTTGATCCGTGGGACATTAATTGTTTCACCATTTAGGGCTAATTGTTCATGAAAAATAATTTAAAGTTATTTTCAATATGTAAATAACTTGGCCCTTTTTTCTGATACCAGAATGCTGGACCAAGGGTCATGGATTACATTTTTTGATAATGGCTTATTGCTCATTATACCCAGGCAAATGACTTGCCTGCTTTCTTTCCAAGCGGAAAGAAACGTGAAATAAATTTTCAATACAGTCAAACATCGTTATCGCGAACTCTATGGGACCTGGAAAAAAACTTCGAGATATCTGGTCCGTGGATTCGAGATATCCAGGGTAAAAATACTTTTTTTTTAAAAAGAGGTTGGTTCTTCCAAATCACTTCGATATGTCCATGGCATTTGAGATATCTGTATTCGAGATACCGAAGTTCAACTGTATATGACCAGCTATATAGGCCCCACTCTGGGCCTAAAAAAATAATAAAGCCTTTTCAAAATGCGTCATAATGCGTTCTCACATCGCGTTATAACTTCTTTTTCGAAGGCGTAATAAAGTCTTTTCACTTGGCGTTATAAACCCTTTTTGCGTTATAAGGCCTTTATTATACCCGCACTTTCTAAAGAAAATTCGGGTATATTGTTGTTATCCTGGTCCATCTGCAATTCTGTCTTTTGCAAGATGATAAGAGGTGTTCTGCAGGTGTGCAATGAGGTTTCGGAATTTTCATTTTCACCCTTGGGACCAAAGTGGGGTAAAAAAAAAATCGCGCTGTCAAGTTCCAATTTGATACTTAACAAACCGATTTAACATATAGGAAGGAATGAAAAAAGATGCAATTCTCTCTCTCTTTCTCTCTCTCTCTCTCTCTTGACGATGAAATCCTTGATTTGATATCGTGATTTTTTTTTTATTGCCACACTGTACTTATCTTTACTTCATTCGTTGCAAATATGTACTATATGAAGATCCAGAGGTCGGGATCGATATGCAAAAATTCAGATCCAATATGTCTGCGCCCTTGTTGTTAACGCCGAAGGCAGTGATTTAGTGAAAAGTTTCATCGATTACATACTCATTTGATCTTGAAAAAGTTGTTTTGACTTGTTAAGAAGAATGCTGTGTCGACATTTGAATACACTTACTTTAAGACCATATGGTTTTGTGAGATCTTCCATTTTAGTACGCCAGTTTTGTTGCACCAATGTCAACAAGAACTGTGATTCGTTTACATGTTTTAAGCTTCAAAAATGTAAATATCATATACCTAGCAACGTTGATTTAGAAGGGTTTCGACGCCATTTTTCTTCGTCATGTTGGTATTGTTGCAGAAAGAGTGACAAAGATGATGGTAGGCGTAAAGAGAGTATACAGCCATTACAGGTAAGTTTCTTACATTTGTGACTGTTATCAGTTAAACGATTATGTTGTATAATATGTTGACGATGCGACCGTTGGGGCGAGCGCATTGTTCACTTCGTTTTAAGATCTGCCTCTTCAAACCGCATGAGACAGTTGGAACATCTAGACTGTGACGTCACATGATGTCGTATGTTAGCTGCATTTCCATAAACAAAGTTTAAAAAGTACGAATATTTTAACAAAGAACGTTTAATCTACTATCTGCATGCAATATCCATTAAATTAAGGTGAGTTTATTTTTTGTGAAATTTTAGTTGTTACCGCGTGAACGAAGTAAGCAGCGAGAACAAGAAGCGATGCATTGTGGGTCCAGAATTACTGCGGAAAAAAATTCTGTTGAATGAATGTGCAGTAGTTCGAATTTTCTCTTCGCTTAGGCGTTGTTGTTAGAGCTCGCAGTGACGAGCGGCGCTTTGCGCCGCACGCTGTGCTCGCTATTACTCATTGTAATGAGATGTAGCAAGCTGATTTATGTTATTATATAGATTATAAGAAGTCTAATATGTTTTACGGTGTGACCGTTGGGATGAGCACAGTTGTACCATCAAAAACCTATATACACAGCTTACACTTGTAACGTTTAACCACCTCCTTAAACTTCAAACCGCACAAGACACAGTCTAGACTGTGACATCACATGACGTTGGAATTTACGGAGACAGCCAAACATCTGTTTGAATGAGACTACAGTTCTTGTGCAAAATTAAATGAAATATGTTGTGGAGTAGATGCAATTGTTTTTTGTTTCTTTTAAGCCAATCTAATCAAAATTAGATCCTTTATGCTCCCGTATTTTGTTAGTCGCTGTAAGGTGCACAGCGACATAACAAAATATGGGAGCGTAAAGGATCTAATTTTAATTAGATTGCTTTTAAGCTCTCTGCAAAAAAAAATAAAAGTAAATGTATCTCTTGATAAGGAACAATTATCCTTGGTCTTTTGTATGTTTTGTAATAATTTCGCATGGAACCCTAGTAGTGAAGGAATTCCAGGAATGTTTCACAAGAAAATTTGCCTGACGTATGTAAAGATTTCATTTCAAATTTCCTCTGTTCTTACAAGTTAGTCTATTGAGCTCGCTTTGCGAGCAGCACTAAGCGCTGCTTGCTGCGCTTACTATAAAAAAATACTAAAAGTCTAGAGAATATAAGTGTTCAATATCTTGGTGTTTTATTGAATGCTGAGTTTGCATTGTATATGAGTATGTCCCAAAAAAATTCCCAATAGGAGCGTTCAATATCGAACGCCCCGTTGTAAACAAAAAGTGTTGTCTGATCAACCACTCAATGACAATATTTAAGAGGAGTAGTGGTTTCTAGGTACTAAGATGTGTCTATTTTCACACAAAATTGAAATTATCAATTAATAATTTAGTAACTATTAGCCTCAAGAAAAACCTAAATAAGTTAAAATAAAACTTGGTAGGGTCACTGGAATGATGTGATATTGAACACTTACAGGAAAGACGCTGATATTGGACAGTTTTAATTTAAATACAGATACTGAAAAATTCTCATTAATTTTAGGTATTTAATTGAAAAAAAATGATATAAATCAATGGGAAATGTTTAACTATATAAAAAAGGAGTTATTGAACTTGCATTGGTGAAAATTGGCACTCGTTGGCTGTACAATTCATGAATTGCACTCGCAAGCTCGTGCATTTGTACAGCCAACTCATGCCAATTCATCAATATAACATCAAAAACCTTCTAAATACAATAATAAATATACATGTATTATATAATGTACTGATGCCTCTTTTTAAATGAAGTTGAGTATGTTTGTATTCTGATTTGTCAATGCCTTTATCTCATATTTTTTTAAAGGGTGAGAGCATTAAGACGATTCCAAACATAATTACAACATGTAGAATTATTTCTGCGCCATTTCTAGGGTATATGGTTACACATGGTCAATTTGAAATGGCACTTGGTTTGTTCATCATAGCAGGCATTACTGATCTGGTTAGTACTGACTTATATTTTGAATATTTATGGAATATAACATATTATTTCTATTTTAATTTTGATATGATGTAAATGCAAAAAAAAAAAAAGATATTAATAATCAAGCTGTTAATAATAATAATCCCCAGGCATGTTTCATACATCTGATTACTGTTCCAAATCTCGTGACTTTATAATGTAACTTTATTACAATATACTACCGGGTATTGTACTTGAATGTTGCACAGATTGCTCATGGTTGCTTACCAATCACTTGCAAAATTGAATTGTTTCATATCTGTTGCATAATCACTTTGAGTGGTTACCTTAGTAATATGGACAAATAATAGATTGCTGAATTTATTTGTATGTTGAACATAATCTTACATTTCAATTTTAACAAAAATGGGATATAGCCAAAAAATTTGGAACCATCTTAATTTGAAGCACTTATCTGTGGAATTGTCATTGCTGGGAATTTCAGTATTGATATTATGAATTTACCAAAAATTAGTGTTGATTGGTTGATATATTAAAAGATTTAGACCACAAGTATTGAAATATAATGATTATACAGTTGAACTTTGGTATCTCGAACACCGATATCTTGAATACCATGGATATATTGAAGTAATTTTGAAGTCCCAATCACTTATTATTTAAAGTATTTTACCCCTGATATCTCAAATTTTCAAATATCTTGAAATTTTATCAAGGTTGAAATAACAAGGCGTACATGTAGCTGTATATAATGATTCCAATAATATAAAATCAACAGATATGCAAATTTTATAAAGCACACTAGCACTTAATGAAAAATATGCCTATTCATGCAAGTCTGTGTGATTTACGCACCAGTAACTCAAACAAAACTTAAAAACATTCCTTAAGAATCATCAATGGTCAGTTGATGCATCTTGGGAGATGTAACCAAAAGTAGGTCATAATGACTTCATTTTGGAATATTATGTCTATATTTAATCAAATTGTGTCCAGAAAATACCTTTCACACTGTGAGGCCAAAACCATCAAAACATGAAGAAATTTCTTTCCATTAGCTAGCTTATAGAGTAACTTAAAATTGATTTGACAATTAATAATTTTATTGAAATGTTTGATATTGCTTGTTTATTTGTTGCTTTAATAAGTCTGTAATAATATGTGAATTTCTGGCATACATATATATATATATATATATAATTTCTTTCTTCATTTAAGCTGGACGGGTACATTGCCAGGAATTTCAAGGGTCAAATGTCCAGTTTTGGTACATTTCTGGACCCATTAGCTGACAAGGTGATGATGACTGTGATGTTTACTACTCTATCTATGGCCCATATTGTACCAGGTACTAAAATCTACCCTGTCCACATCCACAATGTCCATCATAAAAAATCATCCGAATATTCAGGTATTATACACAGTGATTTTGACCATTACCCACCTGTTCCAGGTATGGTTATTAAAATATCCTAGTACTGTATTCAGTTTACCATTGTGTCCATGGCTAACTTGTTCCAGACAAAGTCACCAGAACATCAAAGTATTGTACCTACAGCACCTGGTTGAAATTTACTCTTTTGTCTTTGGTCCATTGTACTATCTAAAAGTACCAGAATTTATAAGTATTGACGTACTTATCAATGGAGTACACTCTTACTGATCCACATGTTCATGGCCCAAACTGTACCAGGTAAATGTCTTAAATAACCAGGTTCTTGTATTGTACTTCCTATAAAATTCTCTATGCTGTGCATATCCAACATTTATCTTCACAATGTCAAGGTTTTGTGATATTGTTTCTCTTCACAAATCCTTAATAAAAGTCGCTATTTAAAAGTTGGGATTGTTGTTACACATGACATAATGGTTAGTTATAAACCAACCAACGAGAATATATCTTTCAAATCCGTCATTTTCAAGGGGTTCAAAACCATCCCACATCTTTTGTGACTGTATGGAGAAGGATCTTCCAAAAGTTATTCTCTAATATTTTATTTGAGGTAACCAGTCTTACATCCTACAATACTGGCACTTTCCATTTTAAAGACAAGTCATATTTGTTTACAAAACTTACCTAATCCTAGACTGGGAACAAATAAAATAATAGTTTTCTAGCCTGACGTTTAAATAATGACTTTTGTCAAGGGTTTGTGAAGAGGAATGATACATTGTGAAGGTGCATTTTCCAAAATTGTGAAACTGAATTCACTAGAACATCCAGGTATTGTACTCCTAGTGAAGGATTGTTCTTAAGGTTATCTTAATGTACTGTCACAGTGGTTTATTCATACAAGGCCAATTCATATTTACGTTGTAATTTATTTTAAAAATGAAAATTTAAGTCAGTTTCAGTATAAATCTGAAGTCTAAAATCTGTGTCAGAAATTTTCAATAAAACTAGACTAACTTGCCATACATTCCTCTTTGTTTTCTAAACAAATTTTCTGGTTGTGAAAACTGAATGATGTCCCTTTGTTGACAGTGCCCTTGACTGTGATCGTGGTAGGAAGGGATGTATTCCTTATAGCAGCTGCTTTTTATATCAGATACATCTCTATCAAACCTCCAGTAAGTATTAAAAAAAATGTTAAATTCATTTTCAACATTTCATTTTTAAATCAATTCCTCACATGCATATGTTTGTACACGTTCTATCCTTTGTAGGTAAATATGAAAAATTTCTTTGATGTTTCAAATGCAAGTGTCTCACTGCACCCTTCAACATTAAGTAAGGTAAGGTACATATAGGAGTAAAATTAATGAAGTAAAATACATGAAGCCTACAACAATCATTTGTAACTATATATTGAGGATGTAAAGCTGTGAACCACTGAGCAGGCAGAACAGGAAATGGTGTAGAAAAGGACACACTATGTAATCCTGGATCTCAGCTGTCATTTTTTACATAATTTCTTTGAAAGAAAAGGTTAATCAAATGGCAATTAAGAGTGCACACATGTATATCTACCAACCTGACTTCTTTAGCCATGCTTGACTTACTAAAATAAGCTGTTTGGTTGTCTCTGATCTTGATGAATTGTTCTGATACTAAAAATATAAAACTATCGATTGACATTTTCATTTATATTCTTATTTCCCCTTTCAAGGAGGCAGAGCTTTTTTAGAGCGTATCATTGAAGCATATTTGAAAGAACATACAATTGTACATCTTTTTATATTCTTTAAGTCTGGAATCGGCTTTTAGACCTATCAATTGGAGATTTTAAACATAAACTCTCCAATTGTCTTGTACTTGTATAGATCTCTGTTCCAGTACAACTCTCCTTCTGAGACTGATATAGAACCTCTGTCATTATTTTACCTCTATCTGTTACATACAACACAACTACCCAGTACTACTAAGATTTATTGTATCACTGTTTGTAACAGTCCATTGCAACTACTCAGTAGTACTAAGATATATTGTACCTCTCTCTGATACAGTACAACACAACTACCCAGTAGTACTAAGACATATTGTACCTCTGTCTGATACAGTACAACACAAACTACCCAGCAATACTGACATATTGTACCTCTGTCTGATACAGTACAACACAACTACTCTGTAGTACTGACATATTGTACCTCTGTCTGATACAGTACAACACAACTACCCAGTAGTACTGACATATTGTACCTCTGTCTGATACAGTACAACACAACTACCCAGTAGTACTGACATATTGTACCTCTGTCTGATACAGTACAACACAACTACCCAGTAATATAAGATATAATGTACCACTGTCTGTTGCAGTACAACACAACTACCCAGTAGTACTAAGACATATTGTACCAATGTCTGATACAGTACAACACAACTACTCAGTAGTACTGACATATTGTACCAATGTCTGATAACAGTACATCACCACTACTCAGTAGTACTGACATATTGTACCTCTGTCTGATACAGTACATCACAACTTCCCAGTGGTACTAAGACATATTGTACCACTGTCTGTTGCAGTACAACACAACCACCCAGTAGTACTAAGATATATATTGTACCTCTGTCTAATACAGTACAACACAACTACTCAGTAGTACTAAGATGTTTTGTACCACTGTTTGTTACAGTTCAACACAACTACCCAGTAGTACTAAGATTTATTGTACCTCTGTCTGATACATTGCAACACAACTACCCATAGAACTAAGACATATTGTACCAATGTCTGTTACAAACAGTGGTACAATACATGTTAATACTACTGGGTAATTATGTTGAATTGTAACAGACAGAAGTACAATATATTTTGTTGTTTTGTACTGTAACAGACAGTGGTACAACATACCTTAGTACCACTGGTATTATTATGTAAACTAAACAACACAACTCTCCAGTTGGTACTAGTTACAAAACACCCCAGTTAGTGCTGATGACACATGATGTTCTGTCTGTTTAGTACACTCTCTAGTTGACATTGACATAATTACAGTACAACACAACAGTGCAGTTATTAGTCTCCTACCGGTGAAACCGGAGGAGACTATAGGTTTCCTCCGAGTCTGTCCAACGGTCTGTCTGTCTAGCTGTCCCTCTGTCTGTCTGTCAGTCTGGTCCACTTGGTTTTCTGCACTTTTTTTTCTACACGCTTGCAGATATTGAGCTGATTTTTGATATGTGAGTGTGTCTTAATGAGTTACAGATCAAGTTTGCATTTTGTTCCACTTCAATGATTTTTGACGGAATCACGGCCTTTTCAATTTTCAGGGTTTTCTGCAATTTTTTTGTAAACGCTTGCAGATATTGAGCTGATTTTTGGCATGTGACTTTACCTTGATGAGTTATAGATCAAGTTCACATTTCGTTCCGCTTCATTGATTTTTGATGGAATTATGGCATTTTCAATTTTTAATGGTAACTTGCCAGTAGGGGACTAGTATTGCTAATGCAATACTCTCAGAATGCTTGTTGATGTTGACACATATATACTGTCTGTTTTAATACACTCTCTCCTTGACACTGACAGTATGATCTCTTTCTGTTACAATAAAACACAACTCTCCTGTTGGTGCTGTTGACACATGTACTGTCTGTTTTTGTACACTCTCTAGTTAACACTGACTGTATGGCCTCTGTCTGTTACAGTACAACACAACTCTCATGTTCATGCTAGTGACACAAGTACTCTCTGTTTTATTACATTTTTAGTTGACACTTATATTATTGTTTTTGTTACAGTACAACACAACTCTCCAATTACCGGTAGTGCTGTTGACATATGTTGTACTGTTTTTTTTTGTACACTCTCTAGTTACACTGATATTATTGTCTTTGTTACAGTACAACACAACTCTCCAGTTAGTGCTGTTGACATACGTTGTACTGTCTTTTTTGTACACTCTCTAGTTACACTGATATTACTGTCTTTGTTACAGTACAACACAACTCTCCAGTTAGTGCTGTTGACATATGTTGTACTGTCTTTTTTGTACACTTTCTAGTTACACTGATATTATTGTCTTTGTTACAGTACAACACAACTCTCCAGTTAGTGCTGTTGACATACGTTGTACTGTCTTTTTTGTACACTCTCTAGTTACACTGATATTATTGTCTTTGTTACAGTACAACACAACTCTCCAGTTAGTGCTGTTGACATATGTTGTACTTTTTTTTTTGTACACTCTCTAGTTACACTGATATTACTGTCTTTGTTACAGTACAACACAACTCTCCAGTTAGTGCTGTTGACATATGTTGTACTGTTTTTTTTGTACACTCTCTAGTTACACTGATATTACTGTCTTTGTTACAGTACAACACAACTCTCCAGTTAGTGCTGTTGACATATGTTGTACTGTCTTTTTTGTACACTCTCTAGTTACACTGATATTACTGTCTCTGTTACAGTACAACACAACTCTCCAATTAGTGCTGTTGACATACGTTGTACTGTCTTTTTTGTACACTCTCTAGTTACACTGATATTACTGTCTCTGTTACAGTACAACACAACTCTCCAATTAGTGCTGTTGACATATGTTGTACTGTCTTTTTTGTACACTCTCTAGTTACACTGATATTACTGTCTTTGTTATAGTACAACACAACTCTCCAATTAATACTGGTTGCCTCAGCTCTGACTGCTCAGGTGATGGGATGGCCAAATCATCAAGCACTACAAGCTCTCTAGTAAGTCTGTTACGATCTAATCCATTTATTTTGTTAATTTTAACATTTTTATGTTAGGAATAACAAAACTACATTTGCTGATCATACATATACACAAAATGTAACATATTTACCCGTGTCTCATATTATGCATACTTAAAGGTTTAGAAATTGCAATCTTAATTTCATATTAATTATATGAGGGTAAAAGGTGACATATTAAGCTTACAATTGAATGCAAATGTAATTCCTTGACCTGGTGTATTTATTTTTAATTCATTTTCATAAAAAATATCTAAATCAGATTCCAAGAACACATTAAACTTGTGCAGAAAAATACTTCAATATAATGTAACCATAATATAATGAGAATGGAGTATACCATTTCTGTTCAGCCTCTATTTGAAATCCATTGCATTGTAGATTTCTGTGGAATATTACGTTTATCATTTTATTGAATTATTCAACTTTTTACTTGTACAAAAACTTTATATTTGCATATGCTCTGTTATTTCTATATAAACCTGTGCTTAGCAGTTACATTTATAGCTCCATAAATGCAATTGCTCTCAATATATGCACAGGTTGTGTCAAACTCTCACATAGAAAAATCTACCAAGTATAAGATATGATTTTCAGTAGTATTTATAGGAAATATAGCTAAAAATAATTAAGTTTTTAAAAAATGAATCAAGAAATGTTGCTTACCAGCTATTGACAAATAAGTTGCTGAAACAAGAATAGTCTTCTTTAAAGTCAACATTTTGCAAATTCTATGGTCGATACAATGACCTTGACAGCAAATGCAATCTATCATTTAGTGGCATGTTGACTGGTGTTTTTTATACAAATTGTTAGGCCATTATTTTCACAATGAATTGTCTATGGATTTTCTGTTTATCTGATCATGAGAAGGAGCACAGGGTGGGTGTGACTGGTCAACAGGGGATGCTTACTCTTCTATGGCACCTGATCCCACCTCTGATGTTTTTGGAGGTCCGTGTTTGCTCTGTTCCAAAATTGTATTGTTTCAATGGAGTTTTGGGCTTGATTGCTGTTCAGTATCTTCATATTTCATTTCAAACTTTTTAAAATTGTCAACGTTTAAAATTGTACAATAAAAATTTTCTCCAAATAAAGCGTGTGCTGAAATAAATAATTAACAATAATTATCTTTTGCTATAGTCATCTGTCACAGAAGTAAAATGCTTCAAGTGACGATGTAATACTTTTTATGAAATATGACGAGTGAAAATGAAATGTTAAAGAAATTGGTAAAGAAGGCAAACAGAATTGTTTAGAAATATCATGATTATTGTATAGTCCTCATAATTATGGAGTTTCAAGTATAAATAACAAACAATGAAATTCAGTGAACATGGCGGCATAAATAGCAATTGCTCTGCTGGCATATTTTCCATGATGTGCTAGCATGCATCATGGAATATGCCAGCAGTGCCTTGTCCACTGAATAATGTCGTTTATTTCTTAAATGAATTTAAGCCTTCTTTTATATCTAAATGAAATTAATTTCAAGAGAAATAATTTTAAAATTATTGAAATATATAAATTTGAAATAATTATCTAATGAATTTTATTTTGTTTCAGTGTGATCACGGGATGCACAACTATAGGATCAGGTCTGCAGTATGTGTGGAATGCAAAAGCATATTTTAAATTAAAAAAGAAACATTAGTCTTGTGTTTGTTATAAATACTTCAAATTGTCCTGAAATTAAATTCCACTTTCAGCTCACCTGAGCCAAAGGCTCAAGTGAGCTTTTCTGATCACATTTTGTCAAGCTTCCGTCTGTTTAGCTGTCTGTCTGTCCGTCTGTAAACTTTTCACATTTTTTACTTCTTCTCCAACCACTGGGCCAATTTCAAAAAAAATCTTAAACAATCTTCTTCTCAAGAACAGCAAAGCCTTCATCAGTCATATTTATGTGGAAGCATCCTTAGGTAGTGTAGATTCAAGTTTGTTCAAATCATGACCCCTGGTGTTAGGGTGGGGCCACAATGGACAATCAAAATGTAGGAAAAATCTTAAAAAATCTTCTTCTGAATAACAGCAAAGCCATGGTTGGTCATATTTATATCGAATCATCCTCAGGTAGTGTAGATTTAAATATGTTCAAATCGTTACCACCAGGAGTAAGGTGGGGCCACAATGAATGATTAAATTTTTATATAGGAGTATATAGGAAAAATCTTCTCAAGAACAGCAAAGCCATGATTGGTTGTTATCTCGTCAGGTAGTGAAGATTCAAGTTTGTTCAATCATGAACCCAGGGGTAGGGTGGGGCCACAGTGGACAAGCAAAGTTATACATAGGAATACATAGGATTTTTTTTTAAAAATCTTCTTCTCAAGAACAGCATTGCCATGATTGGTCATATGGAAGCATCCTCAGGTAGTGTAGATTCAGATTTGTTCAAATCATGACCTCCGGGGAAAGGGTTGGACCACAATGAAAGTTCATTGACAAACTTATAGGGAAAAAAAAGCCACAGTAAGTTTGAGAATTATGTAAGCATCCTAAGTTAGTGTAGATTCAAGTTTGCTTAAGTCATACCCCCCTCCCCTTTTTTTAGGGGGTAGGTCAAGACCACGTATGCATTTAAGCTTTTCAATACTGAACTGGTTTTTGCTTTTTTCCTAGCCACAGTGCTTAGGTGAGCGATGTGGCCCATGGACCTCTTGTTCAAGTTTACATGTAAGTCTTCCTTCAAACAATGGCATCAAAATCTATTAGTCTACTGTGGAATCATTTTAATTAGTTGGAGGCAATGTTTGCAAGTAACCAAAATTTTACTGGTTCTTGAGAGCCTAATTAATGGCTAACTCTTGACCAAAAAGTCATTGAAAGAGTTACTGTTCTTGGGGATATTAATTCATGGGAAGGATGACCAGCTAAATCCACAAGCCTTGGTCCTACATGAATGATGATTCCACAGTATGTATTCTTGGAATGCACTTCCTTTTCTCTCTCAGTCAGTAAAACTGGATCACATTTGTATTTGAAAGAAAAATTACTGGTTTATTTTATTTCTTTATTTATAACAAGAATACAGCACATTCCAATGCTTCACTTGGCATGATTAAAAAGCATTAATTTTTTGAGAATATATCAGCAATACATGATCCTTTTAAAGTCCTAACAAATTTTAAAAATTACATGATATCTTTATAAAGTCTGACACCCAAATATATTTTTGAAAATATATGTAGCATACAATGTAAATGTTTCAAAAATGCACCAAAATCATGTTCTTAACAGGCCATATTACAATTTAAAGGACATAGTAAAATAAGGGTCACAGATGTTCTTTTATTAATGGGAATAGTTACATATGCAATTGTTTGTAATTTAAAACCTCTATTGTTGTTGTTTAACGTCCCTCTCAAGAATTTTTCACTCAATGTGCAGATGCCTCCACTTGCCTGTAGAAGGCTGCAAATTTATACATTTACTCCGCACTCAGAGCCATTGAGCAGTGAGGGATCTTTTTCGTGCCAATACCTACTGTTACACGGGACCTTGGTTTATGTGGTCTCATCCGAAGGACCGGACTTAACATCCCGCAGTGGATTTGAACCCACGACATAAGGATCAGCTCCTTACTCCGCGACTCTAGAGCAGATGCTCTAACCACTGCGCCACACGGCAACAGAACCTCTATTGAATAAAGTCATCATTGAGTCACAGCAGTTAAATATAAGAAGTTCTATTATCATACACAACATATAAATGTAATTGCAGATAATATCATGAATGGAATATGCAAATTTGGTAGATAGGCTAGCATCCATCCACCTTGCGTTTTCTGAAGCAAAATGTAAAACGTGAAAATTTCATCCAGATTAATAAGACATTTAGAATAACTGAACATTAAGTATATAGGTTTCATTTAAATTTGGTACTAAATGGGTTATATAAACCATTACCGTGTATAAGAGACATTCAAAGGAAGGGGGATGCAAATAATTTTCATTAACCTACTTAATATTATAACCAACATACATGTTCTGTAGCACTCCACTCAGAAAATTGTACAGTGTACTTTGAACTAATGAAGATGCATATTTCTGGAATCAACAGAATTCTATTTTGACTTAATTTTCAATAAGACAAGATTTCAATAGGGATTTTAGGATTGTAAATAACATGACATTGAATTATTATACAGTTAAAGTATATGATTGAGGGAGTTAGCAAGATTCCAGTTCCCCAAGACCAGGGTTATTAAATACCACTGGAGCAGAAATAGTCCTGGTCGAGGGGAACTGGAATCTTGCTAACTCCCGCAATGATATACTTTTAACTGTTTTATTATACTGATACAAACGTCAAATTTAGAGGATTCAGATAGCGTGATTTCATAGTAGGGATTAGCTCACTGAACTAACACATGGGGATTAGTCCATTCACATATCATACCAATGTAAAAGTAAAATCTAGAGAATTACGGATAACTGGGAATTAGCTTTTGATGCAGGGGTTAGCCCACTTGACTAATGCACGAGGATTAGTCCATTCATAAAAATTTCTAGGGAATTAGTCACATCTAACGATCTAATGTTTTATAGGGAAAAATCAGTAGTAGTATAATAATATACCGGTATGTTAAAGTCCTTTTAAATGGAGTCTACCTCTAACTGTTGTAAATATGCAGTGATCCAAACAAAGACATCAAAACTTTTTCCAAAAATAAATTCTGTGTTTGAGTATTGTGGAATCGTCATTGTTCATGGGGGACCAATGTTCCTGGATTTTGTGGGTCACACTTTCCCCCGAAAATATATCCAATGTATCCATTATCCGTTCATTCGATCTTTTGTATCTAATATGAACTACCGATGAAACTCAATGTCTCCACAAACCAGTCAATTTTCTGTAACCTATGAACATTGGCCCTCAGAAATTAAAATGATTCCACAGTAAAAACTTAAGTACTAGGGATTTAGTCATAAAAAGAGATTCTAAGAATGCATATTTGATCCTCAATATGTTGCAGTATACTTGTAATTTCAATTCCCCCCCCCCCCCCTTCCAAAATCATCATTTCTTTTTTATGCAGCCATGCCATGTTCAAATGAAGTAAGTGAGAGCGTAATGAAATATGATATGGTCCCTCATACATGTACCTTTTGTATATATTTTGAGAGAGAAATATCTGGCATACAGATCTGTGTATTTTTCCCTCTTAGTCAAAGTGTTGATGATTCTGATAATTACAATGTATAAAAAACCAAAAATTTCATCCATGAAGGAGATATGGGATAATTAAAATACAGGTTGTTGACTAAACGCATGTACATGTCACAACAAACCATATCACTTCTTACACATAAAAGTCAACAACACAATAGTTATAATCCAGTTATCCACCCAATCTCATTGGAGGGGGACTAATATGAATGTTTGTAAACATACTGAACATAAATATTCTATTTATTAAATGAAAGTAGTTTAAACATATAATTCTATCAAAATAATTTAAAGTACTTAAATCCAATGGTGAAAGCAATTTGTAAGCTATACAAATTAAATAAATTGATTTACTTCTGTAAATATAGTACATGTATAAAAATTTCAATTTCTATCTACAAACTGGCACGTGTTGCATGCAGATTCATACCCTAATCACTATATTATATAAATCTTTAATGAAAAGTATAATATTGTGAGAAACAAGGCAAAGCAAATTTTGAGCTTGATGATAAGGGAATATAAACTAGAGGCCCATAGGTCACAATGCTCACCAGAGTCGCCATGGCCTTTCTGTTTTTTAGAAGACTTTAAAGGGTTTTTTTTAGCTATAAATTCTTAAGAAAATTTTTTTACCCCATCCCACCCCAGAAAGTTAATTAAATCAGCATGGGCCTAGAATCAGATCCTTTTTTTAGAAGATTTTTTCCTCCCAGGGTATATATTCCCAGTTAATCTTTGATCTATTGTAGCCCCACTTTATCCCCGAGTTTAGATTTGGACAAACTTATTTCATTATACTTGAGGATGCTTGCATACATTACTAATCCTGGTCATGTTCTTCTTGCAAAGGACATTTAAAAATTTCTTCCTATAGATGCCCATGTAAAACCTTCATCCCCTATTGTGTCCCCATCCTACACCCAGGGGCTATGTATCAACCAAACTTGAATCTGCACTACCTGAGGACGCTTGCATATTAATACTGTATGTGTATTTTAAAAAGCAGGTTTCATATTTTAGTGGCTTTGGCGCAGACAACGATGCACTTATTTATAAATACTGCTAAGAAATCTTATATATACAATGCACTGCCCGGACATGTGTAGCGCTTATTCATGATTACATCAACAACTCCATGCCCAGTGATTGCGCTAAATTTTGAATCCGCCAATTTATGTACACGTACAGTATCACTCATCATAGCCATACTGTTCTCAAGAATTTTCAAGGTATAAATCTGTTAAATTATATCATTTGATTTACTCTCAGAGACTGTGAGCTACTTAAGGTAGTGATCTATATGAGTGGATCAAAGGATCTGATTTTAATCAGATTGATTAATATTGCTAATAATTACCATGCTTACTTTTTCCTGCATATCCCAATGTAAAACTTTGATCCTCTATTGTGGCACAAACTTTACTCAATGGGCCATGATTTGAACAAGCTTAATCTATAATTCATTTGGAAGCTTTCAAATAAGTGTCATTCTTTCTGATCCTGTGGTTTTAATGACCCTCACCCTATTTAAGCCTTTTTTTGATTATCTCCCCTTGGAACGGCCCATGGTCAATCATTTGAAGAAACTTCAATTACCTTTACCCAAGGATATTCTGTGCCAAGTTTGGTTGAAGTTGGCGAGTGGTTCTCGAGAAGATAAAAATGTGAAAAAAATTATGACAACCAGGACAGGCAATGAGCAAATTTCAATCAGAAAAGCTTACTTTAGCCTTTGGCTTAGGTGAGCTAAAAATATAAATTAAATATTTCCACTGCCTAGATCTTTCTGATTCTCCAGAATACATATAATTATTAAGCACAAAAACAGTTGTTTTGTCCTTGAAGCTACATACATGGTCTGGACAGCCTTTATCATTTTAGTGCAAAAATTATTCTTTCTCGTAACATAAAATTCGGGGAAATAGTGACTTAGAATCCTAGGTACCCGTAGACAGAGAGATGATAAACAGATGGGTTCACTTAGAATACTATGAGATGTACAACATGTACAATGAGATTCACGTAACTTATAACTAGAAATATGTCCATTGGACATGAATGCCCTGCTAAGGGTATATTAGTGTGACATGAAAATTTGTATTAGTGTATGAAAATTGATGAGAATATCTTGAATAGTTTCTTTAAAATTGAAATCTAAAAATTTGGATATAGATGATAAATTCTCACCAAATTATGTATAAATGCACAAGCTTACATAAATACATCTTAAATGGTTTCTTTAAAAACTAAGCAAAATGCAAATTTAGAAAAAGTTACATCAAGGTCACAGAAAGTTCAAGGTCAAACATTTTTGATGCAGTTGAATACTTCTCACAAATACGTATCAGCATATTAAGTTTGATAAAAATATTTTGAATGGTTTATTTAAAACTGAGCTAAACACTAATTTAAAATAAATGAAGTTAAAGTCAAAGGAAAGGTCAAGGTCAAAAAATGTTGATGCAGTTGAAAATCTTACATCAGTATGTATAAGCATATGAAGTTTGATAAAAATATTATGAATGGTTTCTTTAAAACTGAATTAAACACAAATTGAGAAAAGTAAGGTCAAAGTCAAATAAAAGGTCAAGGTCAAAATGTTGATGCAGTAGATTGCTTACATCAGAATGTAATAGCGTAGGAAGTTTGACCCTAATTTAAGAAAAGTGAGGTCAAGGCCAAAGGAAAGGTCAAGGTCAAAAACTGTTGATGCAGTTGAATAGCTTTCCTCAGTATGTATTAGCATATGATGTTTGATAAAAATATCTTGAATAGTTTCTTTAATACTGAGCTAAACATTAATTTAAGAAAATTGAGGTCAAGGTCAAAGGAAATGTCAAGGTCAAAAATATTGATGCAGTTTAAGAGCTCTCATCAGTATGTATCAACATATGAAGTTTGATTACACTATCTTGAATGGTATCTTTAAAACTGAGCTAAACACTAATTTAGGAAAAGTGAGGTCAAGGTCAAAGGAAAGGTCAAGGTCAAAAAATGTTGATGCAGTTGCTTAGCTCTCATCAATATGTATCAACATATGAAGTTTGATTACACTGTCTTGAATGGTATCTTTAAAACTGAGCTAAACACTAATTTAGGAAAAGTGAGGTCAAGGTCGAAGGAAATGTCAAGGTCAAAAAAATGTTGACACAGTTGCATAGCTCTCATCAATATCTATCAGCATATGAAGTTTGATGAAAATATCTTGGATAGTTTCTTTGAAACTGAGCTTTGAACTGAGCTAAATGCAAAGCACGATGGAAGGACAGACGGAAGATGGACAAGACAAAGTAACACAACATGCCCCGGCCATATTCATGGTGGGGCATAAAAAATCTTAAGGATATTCAGAGTAATGAATTATGTTTCAGAAAAAGGTACAGAAAAAAACTCTGTAAACCGGTAATTGCATAAATTTACATTTACAAGAAGACAAAGTTATTTTCTTAATAAACATTCTAGTGGTTCACCAATTCATGTTAAGAAAATATATAAAAAAAGCGCTGGTAAAATAAAAAAAAAGCTTTCTTCTCTTCCAAAACGAAAAGGATCTCTACATTTTAAAGAATTCTTCAGAAATGAAATATTTCAAGGTCAGATTGTCCTTAAGGTCCTGTGGAATATCAAGTGAATTAACACAGGCAATAACATTCCTTCTAAATCTTCTTCTGAAAAAATTCCTACAGATGGCCAAGAGGCTGGGAGGTGAGGTGGCAAAATTATTCAGAAACATTTGCTGTTGTCTGTGCAAGATGGGACTGTTGGCAGGGAATTCTCGAGCCATGATCCAGCTCTCCCTGTAGATATTGTACCCAGCCAGAGTTAGAGTCATCAATACATCAATGTTAGTCTGGTGAGCGGCCACATATATCACAGAGCGTGGTTCTGGGTAAATCAAGGTAGCCACATCAGACTGGGCATGCTGATCAATTCCACAAGAGACCACCTCCAGCTCAACATTCTTAACAATTAAATATTTGATTGTTCTCAGATCATTTTTGTACACAGCGTTCCACAGAGGTGTGGTGTTATGCTTGTTCTTACAATCTGGGTTGGCACCAGCATTGACTAATTTGGTCACCATTTCCAGATTTTTGTTAAATGAAGCATAAAGAAGTGGGGTGTCATCGTCCTTGTCTGCATTGTTGACATTACAACCCAGAGGAAGCAACATATCAATCACAGTAGTATGGTTTCCATGGGCAGCCAATGATAACGGGGTATTTCCATCTTCAGTACGTGTATCATGACTCAATCCAGAGTCCAGTAGTAGCTGTACAATGTTGCAGTAACCATTCCAAGCAGCCACATGCAGGGCAGTATAGCCTTGTACGTTTTTAGATGTCACATTAGCTCCATGTTTAACCAGCTTCTGGGTGATATCATAAGCACCTGTAATGCTGGCAAACACTATAGGTGGAGTCCCATCACTTGACATAACGTTAGGGTCAGCTCCATTCTCAAGCAGGTATGAGACCATTTCTGTGTTCTCTGAAATAAAAGTTCTTTATCAGAGTATTCCATTTTTTTCCAAACTATAGCACAGAATGGGTTTTGTAATGCAAATGACTTGATAGAGTTTTCCATGACAGTACAATGATTTAAACAAACAACTTACCCAGGTGTAGGGCAAATGATAGGGCAGCCTGATCCCTGTGGTTTAATATATTAATTTTAGCCCCTTTCTCTATCAGTGGTTTGACATACTCCATACCACGGACCACACCCATCATCAGAGCAGTATTACCTTTCCTGTCCTGGATGTTACAATCGGCCCCTGCTTCAAGCAGAACAAGGAATGCCTCATGTAAGTGAAACTTGGCAGCTAGAATAAGAGGGGACTCATCCTTAGCATTTTTTTGGTTTATCTTAATAGTTTTGGCTGTTAATAGTTTTTTTAAAACATCCACATAACGTAACTGTATGGCCTCATGAATTGGACTGGTATTGTCTGTAATAAATGGAATATTAACATCAAGTCCTAAACCAACCAAGTAGTCTATGACACATAATTGCCGAGACCGCACTGCATACGAAAGAGGAGTTCTATGACATAATTCTGTTGTAGCATTCATGTTGCAGCCATATTTGTTCAACAATGAGAGAATTTTTGTGTGCCCAAACCCAGCGGCAGCATGGACTAACCGCAGGGAGGAAAAGTGATTTTTAAAGTGGCTTGGAATTTCTGCTCCACAGGAACAACTTCCTCGTGTAATGAAGTCCAACACAATATCTAAACCTTCTTCCAAGGCATTCCCATGATTTAAAGGATGGCTCTCAAAGAAGTTCCGGCCACAGTTACAGGTAAAATTTGAACCTAAAAAATCAAGTTGGCATAAATGAACATTATTTTAGTAACGAGAGAACCTGTAAATTTAAATATTACTAATTTAAAGCAAATTGCAACACAAGATAATACGTTAAAGGGGCATGGACACACTTGCATTATTGTTTACAATTTTGAATTTCTATTTTATTTGAAAAATAGCTTTAGCTTAATGATTTGAACTTACATGAAAATCCTTAATACTCAAAGACAATGGTATTTTTGATAACTGTGTTTGTAAACATTGGCAGAATCTCTGTTATTGTTGTTGTTTATGATTTACTGGTTGTGTTCGATTTGCCAACACTTCTCACATCACTGACCGCAAGCAGAAAATACTGATGACAATCAAACATACCTTGGATTTGTAGGTTTGTTGATTTTCAGATTAACAAAGTTTCTTATTAGGTTTTAATAATATTTTGATCTGAAACACTCTTGCAATATGCAAGTCCTGAAATCCTACCAAAAATTTTGAAAGTTGTAAATTTCAAATATGTATCCATGCTCCTTTTAGAGGTGATCCTCATTGTTTTCTCACAGATACAATCAATCACAGCATTTAATCACATCAATTAAAAATCTAAATAGGCAATAAAATATTTTCTTGCATCAAACTTTTTATGACTTTAGTGCTGATTGATTGAAAGTACCGTGTAGTTTAAAATAATGAAAGAAAAAGTTGGTCTCAGTGATGAAAATTTTGAGATATTGGTCAAAATAAGCGATTTTCAGGCTTTCTTAAAAGCTAATGAGAGACATACCTTAATATTAAGAGGCAGTGTTTTATAATTAGCATTTATAGATGTTTATGAGCTCATGACACTGTATGAAACTGTATGATATACAGTTACCACACAAACTGAAATTTGAAAATTATGAAAATACATCGGAATCGGTTTCTAAAAAGGATTGTTGTAAACTGACATTGCGGTAAAGACAGACTGAAATCTCTTTTGGGGGAAATATATATTGATCAATTTATAAAATTATTTTTTTTTTTATTCCTTTCAATTTCATTTTTCATATTTAGCTTTGAGAGTTAAGGAGAAATTAATCGTATTTTTGATGCAACACATGTATTCCTTGAAAAACTCTAGTGAAATATGCCAACAACAATAGCAATTAACTTATATTAAGGCTGAACATGATTTGTAAAAGGAATTTGTCCGTCATATTCTTTTATTCAGCCATAATATCTGAGGGCCCCTATATTAACCGTTCACATTAATATATTAATACAATATATTAACATACTCTAACTTAAATGTCATAACAGTGTTCCATAACATTTTATTTGTTCAGTAGAATTTACTTGGCGGGTTTAAATCCCGTGACGTTTTGTAGTCAGTTTGGGTGTAGCAATTGAGTAGAGCAGACAGACTTGACTTGCTCGAGTATTTATAGTAGTATTTTTCACAAAGATAAAGATTTGACCAGACTTTCACATCTCTTCTGAGATCCCATTTGGTCCAGGAAGCCATTCAATCCAAACAGTGAACTATCTTGAAATTTTAAATTTGTACAAAGCCAATAAAATTTGATTAATAATTCAAAAAACTTAGTCCTTGTTTTTGTATTGTGTGGCTACCAAGCGGCCTGCCAGCGACATTTGGTGTCAGAAGTGGGATGACGAACCAGGGATATTGATCCAAAGGTTATCGCTCTTAAAGATACACATCCAAAGATACTATCCAAAGTGTACTTTTCGGAAGATGTAGATTCAACAATGGATCCACTACTATTGAAAAAAAAATCATCTACCAAATAGAATAATATGTCTTAATCCTACAGAATATACCAACAGGAGATGTTCACATGACAATCCGCTGGATACAGATCTGTCTATAGGATAGAACAACAGGATACAGACAGAGGAAGAAAATAACTGACTTTACCAGGAATTGTCAAGAAGTGTTAAATTTTAAGTAAAATTTAGACATATTAAAAAAAACTGAAACTCTTCATTTATTTCAAATAGATTGTATTTTCTGATATATTTATTCTGTTGAAGGTAAAAAGTTTTGTATTTTTCAACCTATAAACTGATGAACATTATGCTTTTCCTATGAATGTTATCAAATTTTTCATTGTTATTGCTGTAATTTAAAAAAATCTGGTTGCGAAGCTACATGTACTTCAGAGTGTATTGTGGAGACTGGTCATGGTTATGTTGTAGTAAATCAGTTGAAATCATTAACAATTGTGTCACCCAAACTCACCAGTTCAGTATTATGTGTAGTAGTAGTATGTCATACGTGTGTAAAGAGTCGTAAGTTAGAAAATCCATTTTGTTGTGTACATTTAACATTTTTGTTAAGAATGGAGTCTTTAGATGAGTTGATTACTGCTGAAGAAAGACTTGGTTATAAAGACAATAGTTTATGTAATTATGTGAGCGATCAACAAGCTTTGCAGCATGAAGAAAGAGCGGCAGTTCGTCAAAAGGAGAAAGATGAACATGAGTATCAACTACAAAGGTTATTAAGAAACCTACGGATGTACAAGTAAGTAAGATGCAAGTAAAGCCTAAAGATCTACTGCAACGACCCCAGCATCAGAAGTCTACGTTCGTTCCAGTGATAGAGAGAAAATGTTACATTTGCGGTAAGCAGGGTCATATTGCTCCGCAGTGTCATAGATCTAAAGGTAAGATTTCAAGTGCGCTAGTCCATAAAGATGAGCGCAGAGACGTTGACAAAGTACCAGAGAATTGTTCAGCATTTGTTTGTAGTCAGAACTCGTATCTCTACTCTCAGGTATGTGACAAATCAACCACTTTAACTTCGGCATGTCACGCCACTATGAAACCTATGCCACTATTGGCTGGATATGTGGATGGTCAACCAGTCACACTTCTTCGAGATTCTGATTGTCAAAACATTGTGGTAAGGAGAAGCTTGGTGAAAGATGAAAGTTTAACATGTAAAAGTGATACTCGTATTTTAGCAGATAATACCAAAAGAGTTGTTCCAGTTCTCTGTATGTCACAGGTGAATTTGAGGTTTGGTGTATGGAAAACCCTGTTTTTGATTTAATTATTGGAGAGGTGCACGAGGCAAGGAAACCCCATGATCCCAACCCAGACTGGATACCAAAGACTGTCTTAGCAGTGGATACACGACATCAAGTAAGAGAAAAGAAGAAACCTTACCCAGCTCTTAGAGTTCCAGATATAGTTAAGGATAATATCAAACCCAAGGATATACAGTGTGAACAACAAGCTGATCCATCACTTGAAACAACACATCGGAATGCAAAGAAAGGCCGAATATCACGCGATGGGAAGGTAAGATGGTTAGAAAAAAGAGGTCTTTTGTATAGGGAGTATCAAGCATCTGAAAAAGAAGGAGGTAAGATCTTTTCTCAGCTCATAGTACCTTCTAAATTTCGAACGATTGTTACAAAACTAGAACATGAATCAGTTATGTCAGGTCATAAGACTATACCGAGGATTTTGTCAGATTTCTTTTGGCCAGGTATGCAATCTGAAATTAAGCAATTCTGTCAACCATACATGCCAGAAAACTGTTCCAAAAGTTAAGGTGAGCAAAGTCCCACTGGATAGAATGTCTCTGATTGATGTACCATTCAAGAGAGTGGCAGTGGATATCATCGGTCCATTACATCCGTCAACAGACAAAGGTAATCGATTTATATTAACCTTATATAGTAGATTATGCAACAAGATATCCAGAGGCTGTAGCGCTCCCAGGTATAGATACTGAACGGGTTACAGAGGCTTTGTTAGAAATATTTTCTCGTATTGGGGTACCAGAGGAGGTTCTTACAGACATGGGTACACAATTTACGTCTGGACTTATGATGGAAGTAAGTAGGCTTATTTCAATGAAACAGCTTACGACAACACTGTACCACCCCATGTGCAACGGTCTAGTGGAAAGGTTTAATGGTTCGTTGAAACAGATGTTAAAAAGAATGTGTATTGATCAACTAAAGGATTGGGACAAGAATTTGCCAGCCGTCTTCTTTGCTTATCGTGAAGTACCACAAGCAAGTTTAGGCTTCTCCCCATTTGAGCTAGTGTATGGTCACACTGTTTGAGGACCTATGAAGATTCTCAAAGAACTTTGGACAAAAGAAATACAGGATCCACAGGTAAAGTCTACTTATCAATATATATTTGATCTCAGAGATCGGTTAGAATCAACCTGTGAACTGGCCCATCAGAATCTGAAGAAAGCATCTAAGAGACACAGAGTTTACTTCGATAAGAAAGCAAGAAGTCGTAACATGAAGGAAGATGAGTTTTAGTTCTACTACCTACTGACAGTAATAAGCTGCTAATGGAGTGGAAAGGGCCATACCAAATTGTCAAGAAGATAGGTAATGTTGACTACCAATTAGACATAAATGGGAAGCTCAAAACCTATCATGCTAATGTGTTGAAACATTATACTGAACGTTCAGAGCCAGTGGTGCAATGTCTGTTGTCTGTTCAGATCAAATTGATGAACCAGACCAGGAAGATGAACAAGAAGGGTATGTAGATACATGTACATGTAAGTTAGAAACATACAAGGATGTAGATTTGAACCCAGACCTTAGCAAGCAGGAGAAGGAAACTTTGATGGAACTTCTACACAGTTTTAGTGACGTTTTGAGTGACAAACCAGCTAGGTCACACCCATGTTATGCAACAAGACATACGGACAACTACAGACAAACCAATTAGAATTAGTCCAAGGCAAATTCCAGTTGCAATGACAGAAACAGTTAATGAGGAGGTGAGTAAAATGTTGGAGATGGGGGTCAGATAGAAGAATCAGATAGTCCCTATTCGTCTCCTGTTGTATTGGTTGTAAAGAAAGACAACACTTATCAGTTTTGTGTTGATTTCAGGGGACTTAATCGCATAACTGTGTTTGACGCAGAACCAATGCCAGATGTGGATGCTATATTTGTAAAATTGTCAGGTGACAAGTTCTTTTCACGTTTAGATCTTTCTAAGGGTTATTGGCAAGTGCCACTTACTCAGTCTGCTCTTCCTTTAACTGCTTTTCAAACTCCTCTTGGGCTTTTTCAGTTTACTAAAATGCCATTTGGTTTAGTAACCCCACCAGCGACATTTTGTCGACTTATGCGTGAAGTTTTGCACAATGTTCCAAATGTTGATAATTTCATTGATGATATTCTTATATTCACTTATACATTTGATCAGCATGTTCTAGTGCTCTCGGAAGTGATTCAGCGTCTACATGAAGCAAACCTTACAGCTAGACCAACCAAGTGTTCTGTAGCTTACAAGATGGAGGTGACAAAGTGCAACCTCAACCCGACAAGGTATCAGCAATACAACAGGCAAGTCATCCAACTACCAAAAAGCAACTGCGATCCTTCCTGGGGTTGGTAAATTTCTACCAAAATTTATTTCAAATTTTGCACATATTGCACTTCCCTTAACAGATCTCACAAGGAAATTCTCGTCAAATAAACTTCTATGGACTGAATCACAAGAAATTGCATTTCAACATTTAAAATCAGCCTTGACAAACTCACCAATACTAAAATAACCAGATATTTCAAAAGATTTTATTCTTTAGACAGATGCCTCTGACAAAGGATTAGGTGCAGTTCTTTTACAGGAGGAAGATGATATTAAGTTACCTGTTACAGTAGCTTATGCAAGCCGGATGTTGAAACCGAGTGAGGAACACTATGCTAACATTGGGAAGGAATGTCTTGATATTGTATGGGCGGTTCAAAAATTCCATCGATATCTCTATGGAAAAGAGTTCGTGTTGGAGACAAATCATCATCCATTGGTCTACCTTAATAGGACTAAGCTTGTAAATTCAAGGCTTATGAGGTGGGCACTTCTTCTTCAGCCCTATGGATTTCACATTATTGCAATTAAGAGAAAGGAAAATGTCGGAGCTGATTATCTGAGTAGACAGCAGTACTAGTGAATCAGTGACAGTCAGTAACAAGTATATTATAAGAATAGTGTTTTTAAATTATTTTATCTCAATCAAAAAAGTAAAAAAAAAATGTATCTACTACATATCAAAATAGTTTTACTTTGTACATTAATTGTTGAGTTGTAAAAGTACTTTGTACTTCTTTAAATAGGGGAGGTACGTCACAATTAACGTCCAAACATGGTTCCATATATTTTAACATATAATTTTTCGCTATGTAAATAACTAACTTAAATGTCATAACAGTGTTCCATAAAATTTTGTTTGTTCAGTAGAATTTACTTGGCGGGTTTAAATCCCGTGACGTTTTGTAGTCAGTTTGGGTGTAGCAATTGAGTAGAGCAGACGGACTTGACTTGCTCGAGTATTTATAGTAGTATTCTTCACAAAGATAAAGTTCTGACCAGACTTTCACATCTCTTCTGAGATCCCATTTGGTCCAGGAAGCCATTCAATCCAAACAGTGAACTATCTTGAAATTTTAAATTTGTACAAAGCCAATAAAATTTGATTAATAATTCAAAGAACTTAGTCCTTGTTTTCATATTGTGTGGCGACCACGCGGCCTGCCTGCGACACTTAGTCACTGTTCAGTGTAATCAGTTGTCAACTGTGTAGACGTATGCTAAATATAGCTATTGTAAAACACATGGTATCTACAAAAATAACTGTTTACTTCTTCCACAGCAGGAGAGAAAGAAATCTTACAACTGTTGCACAGGTCACTGCTGTATACAAACAAACATAATAAGTTTTCAAAACTTGTGCCCAATTCCTTTGTAATTATAAATTACAATAAAATATGTTCAAATCAAAATACAAACACAAATACATGTCAACTGCTATAAAATGTAAACAAAGGTATTGTAAGATAACCAGCATGAATATGTGTTGTCCATTCCACTTGGGTACCCATGCAGGGTTCTCATTAACGCAAGAATCTGCGTCCTAGACGCAGCAGAATTATTTGGGACGCAAGGTTATTAAAAACGATGCGTCCGCAGACTCATGAGTGGACACGTCCTCGTCAGCGAGAAAATTCGGGTGCTTACGAAAACCGGAGATTTCAGATATTAGGATTTGCCAAAGAAATATTTAATCGAAACCTTCCTGTAACTATCATAAAGTTTATCCTAGAAACAACTTTTCTGGTACCTATTTCTATTTTTTTTTAGAACAGGGATTGATTATAAGATATTTCATGTTTATTAGTCCATAGTCATAATAGTATCGCATGCCAAACTCCGATTGCTGTAAACACAAAGCGGCTTTTTTTAAAAAAAAACACTTTTGAATCTGAGTTTTATCTAGAAACCATAATTATTGCTTGTATACACAATGCCGCTTGATTATCTCGTGAATTTCACCCAGTGCAGACGACCGACAGGATTAGTTACGCCTCATTGCACATGACACCTGTGATTGTATACAGTGAACTTTTGGGTACTGATTGATTATGCAACAATTAATTTTAGCTTTATAAACACCAAATTTATTTTTACGCGTGTATTTTAGAATATGGCTTGGATGCATCACCAGTTTACATATTTGAATATGTTAATATTTCGTAAACAAACTGTTAAAATAATGAAAAATTTTTTTTGATGTTAAATGGATGGAAGGATACTACAATAATTCAGTTGGGACTCAACATAATTTTTCTGGGACGCATCAAATTTAGCTGGGACGCAACCTTGTCAGAAATCTTGAGTCCTGGGACTCAAGTTAGCAAAATCCTAGTGAGAACCCTGTACCCATGACAATAAAGCAGTCAGTTGTAACAAATGCGAAAGGTATACCCCAGAGCTGATATTGAACATAGTGAATCTAATATGACATATGCCTATTTACGAGTCGTGTTCTGCTTTAAGTTTGTTTACTTTGTTATATAATGTTTGTGTATATGTGCTCAAACCCAGTTATTCTGTGATGGTTATCATCCTATACATTTACTTCTCCATGTAGACATGTCCGATTGTTTTACATATAATCTGACATGACCATTATAACTCAGGTGAATGAAGAAGTTGAATACGTACATACAATAATGTCCGTGTCTAGGATCCCTTTGTATTTCTGGAACAATAGTTCAATGTCATCATCCCCTCGAACCACCCTCTCATACAGGTGCGCCTGGGCACGCCTCATTTCTGTAGTTATAATTCATATCTTCATAAATATACTACATGTATATAATGCCGTTTCATTTCCATTTTGAATGCTGACAGAATTTACTTTTCATCGTGTTAAAAACATTACTGTAAAAAAGAAATTCATAGTTCATAGCGCAATTAATGTTTCAAGTTTTACCCATGTCATTCATTTTTTGGAATTTGACAGCAGCTTAAACAAACGGAACTCAGCAGGAAGAGTGGCCAGTTCAGCTCAATTCACGTCACTAGCTGTTGGCATCAACAGTTGTTTCAAAAAAAAGGTATTTGTTATGGAGCTTTGAATTAACAAACGTTACTTGAAAAGAAATATATTTCTTCCAACATCAGTTTCATCTAATGTTTACACTGTCAGTGACACCTCGTCGCGACTCGAGACACCTACTGAAATTAACTCTCTAACTGGAGAGTTTTCCGGATAAGACCAGAGTTATCGTTCTTAGTCTCTCTCTCTCTCTCTCTCTCTCTCTCTCTCTGAAGAAATGAATCACAAATTGTTTTTAAGTCCAGTTTCATTGTTCTTTCATACTACTCCGTAAATACTTTTGTAATCTTCAAGAAAGAATAGAAGCAAGTTTAGCTGGGGAAGGGGGGGGGGAGAAATGCAGAGAGAGAGAGACCGGCCATCAGACGTTATTTTTAGGTAGAACAGCCGTAAATGAACTTTGTTTTATATTGCAAATAAGTAGTTTATACTACAACAATTATTGCCTACCCAAGCATCCAAAACACCTAACCACCCTCGGTTTCTGGCGGCCTGACCAATATATAATTCATGAATATGATTCTATTATGTTTTAAACATTCATCAAATTAAATTCGATTCAAATAATTGAAAACACCTTTAGGTTAATTTAAAACACACGCTTTCATCATCAGTCGGTCAGTGTATTTGTGGGTGGGTGGTGGGGGGGGGGGTTTATAATTTTTACTCATCAACACTGTCAGTACTCGTTCGGGGTCTTAGCTTTTCGTGGTCAATTTTTTAAACTTACATAACTATATCCATATGAAGTTTCCACACTTTAGCTGAAGCCAAGAGTTCCGGTCTCAACATTATGTCATGCCTGAATGTCGTCTTTGTTTGTCATGAAAATATATGAGTTTGCAACCATACGTGAATTTTGGATTTTTTGTTGAAGATGTTAGAGATTTATCTGTTTATAATAAATCATCAAAAACATTGTCCGTAGCAAATATTGACTTTTCTGTTGAATAAAGAATTGACTTTAATTTTTCATCAGTCAGCCATTTTCGAATATTTATTTCGTGACTACAGTCTCCCGTTGCAGATTTACGTCCATAAACCAACAAGCCACCCAACAATTTAAGTCCCAATCCGTGAGCAACAATTATATGCTGTCCTTTACTTGTGGAAACGAAGACCCCCCCCCCCCTTCTCCTTCCTTACTTTGAAACTAAAACCGGACTGTGTAGATCCACCAGTTGGGTTTTCATTATGAACAGTGTTAAACCTGCATCGCAATTTTTTTTTATCTTAGATTTAATGGCAAAAACACTTGTCGCTGACTTTCTGTCCTCTTCCAACATTTTTCGCAATTTTACGCAGTATATAAGTATCCTTTTTTAAATATTTCACCACTTAACTGATCTGAGCTGTAATTATTACATTTTCAACAGTGAAATACTGTAATTTATTTATTGAATAAAAGTGATATTCTGACACAGTGTGAAAGGATGTCAAAATGGTATTCTCACAGTGTGAGAATATCAGAAGTGCGGCAAAACTTAAGATTTTCCTTCCCTTCACGAAGAGTATTTTTTAAAAAATCCCCGGCCTGTTATAAGATAGAGTTAATAAGCCATACTGACAGAGACTAATAGTTATACTGCCAAAGTTTTTTTTCCAAATATATCGTTAAAAATCCATGTTTACAACGTTTTTCTATCTCGCAATCGTCTCAACCGCTCAACTACGACATCACAGCCTATGAGACTGTGTAAGACAGAGGCAAAGGCATCGTCGTAAACCACGGCCAAATGTACGATCCTCTCCTTTTTTCTTTTTCTTTTTTTGATATTTTCACGAGTGCGAAGCGAAAATATAAAAAAAAATCCTGTCTCACTAGTGAAATAAATTCCATATTCATCTACAAAACATTGAATATCCTCTAATTATTTTTCTAAGGATTTTCTTGGAATTAAGAGAAAACGAATAAGTTGTTTTTGTTGCAAATAAGAATTTTTTTTTCATGAAGTACAAATGTGCAAGATCGTTTTCTTGTAATTACATCATTTTGAGTTCTGTGCAATTACCCTTTGTGGCTTTTGCATTTTACACCAATTTTAAATACAAACCTTTTATTCAACATGACTAAAATTTTTCATGCTGAAGAATTTTCCTCGAATTTGAATTTCAGCAACACGGAGGGAAAGAAAAAAGACGCGAGAAAATGGAATCTGTGGCCATCTTTAAATAGAAAAGATTGTTTGCTCGCCCTCTCTCAACTTAGGATGAAAAAAATCGAGTAGGTAGGTAAGGAGATTTTTTTTAAATTCAAACAAAACTTATTTTCTGAAATTTATGGTATTTATTGTCTGATCATGCTAATTATTACATGAAATATCCATCAAAGAAGTCTAAAGATGACCAGGGATAATCCAATTTGAGCTGTAAATATCACTTCCTGACAGAGGCTGAATTGACCAGGTTGGATAATCTGCTTATGACAAAGGGATTAATCTCTTTTCCTTAATTTTTATGACAATATGTTATAGCTTATATATTGCTGAATTTTTTTAATATTAGTTTTTCTAAAATTAGAATTTTCTAAATAATTTAATTTAAAACAAAAAAACGAATATGAATTTAAAATAGTTATTAATGGAATGAGAAAATTCTTGAATAAATAAATAGAATAATTGTTTCCAGGAGATTACAAAAGTTTTGAGTCGGCCGTTTTTAGTCAGTCGGAGAGGGCAAACAAGCATTTCTTTAAAGATGGCCTGAAGATCAATACCATGTATCGCAAAAACGGATAATACATGTACCTTGGAAGAGGAAATCTGTTGGGTTTGATGCTAAGAGCTTATAGAAATCAGAATGAAGAAATCAGTCTGAATAAACAAAGCTAGAATAATTTTATTTAATTAAGATCCCGAAGAAAATAGGATCAATGGGAAAAAAATCTGAGTATTTCCAATTCAATTATATATAAGCAGTTCCTGTGATGTGCAAACTACAAAGAAACAAAAGGGAAACCTTGCAGCCGACCAGATTTTCATTGACCACTGTTTCAGAATCTAATATCAGATTGGAAAGTACGCCTTTTGAAAAAGACCAGAGCAAGAACTTGTATAGAATACTGAAAAAGAAATGGACTACATATATTGAATTGAACATTAATATGGCTTGACAAAGGCAGTAAACAATATAATGAGGCAAGCCATAACAAAGAGAGAAAGCGAGGAAGAAAGGAACATTTGGCAGAGAAATTCGAAGATTTTTTTTTAATAAGAGAGAGTACGATCGACTTAAAATATAATACCCCTACAAAGATGGAGGACAGAAGTCATTCCTTATAGATTGTTTAAAAGAAATCCTTGTACTTTTTTTAGAAGACGTCTTTATCTGTGACTCATCGGATGGAGACACTGGTATGTGGTAGTTCTTATTTTATTATTTTGTCAATTGTACATGTATACTCATCAGATCATTATTGTATGAGCCAATTGCTTAGTTACATCTTGAATTCCAATATTGTTTACTGAAGTAAACACTTGGTATTAGAGACAACCAAGCTGTTAATACGATACAAGATAACTATAACAATTCTTTATGAAAGGAAATTCCGGACGGTTCCTGGTTCTAATGGTTCTCTGTCTGGTATATTCCACCATAAGTAATGGTGTTTGTCATACATTCATAACATAAGAATTATTATCACGCATTATCTGGATAATGACTTACTTAAATCGTTAATGGACGGATCTCTGGACCGAGTGATCGAATTAATATCTTGAAAATAATCAACATAGAAGTATTTGAAATGATACAGAATATGAGACTAACAATGTTGAAGTTGACAAGCAGCTCGAACATGCTTTCCCTGATTTACAAGGTTAAATCTAAGATTATCAATTGATAATTAATTTTCTTGGGTTTACGAAAGGAAAGCCTTTTCCCCCATCATAGCACATTTTAGTCAGAAATGTCACAACTGCTATAACATCTTCCTAAGGATTTTTCAACGCACTGACTGCAATGCTGTTTTTGATTTATAAAGAATTACAGTTGGGGGGGGGGGGGGCAACTAAACATTTTCAGTTTGGGGGGCACTACCAAAAATTCAAAATTTCCTGACAAGCAGAAAAAAAGGTCATCAGGTGTTATAAGTGAGGGGGCACAAACATATGTTAGCTATTTTTCTATAGTAGTATATACATGTATATCGGCAAAATAACTGGGGGGGGGGGGGGGGCGGGGCAGGTTTTCTCCGGTTCCTACGGCCATGGCTCTAAACTGTCTTGTTTTGAGTTGTAGTAATAATTAAAATTATTTAAACTTCGGCCATCTTTAAAATAATGTTTGTTTGCCCTCTCCCAACTCAGGGTAAAAAAAACTGGGTCGGTAGGTAGGTGGGAAAATTCTTTCTTAGAAAATTTCAACATACATATTGACGGGATGAGAAAATTCAGGAATAAATATCGTTTCCTGGAGGTTATAAAAAGTTTTGAGTCGGGCCATTTTTAGCCAGTCAGTCGGGAGAGGGCAAACAAACAACTTTTTAATGTTCGCCTTGTCCAATTGCCATTTCTAAATTCATTCCTTATGTATCATTCGATTCTAAACGAGTGTTGAAGAGAAACATCATTAAGACGTTGGTACATTCTTGCCGTGCGGCGATAGACGAAACCCCAAATTGTGTTTATTTCTAATATTTTATAAAGTATTGCATATACATTGTGTGAAATTTAAGGGCAAAGGTGAAGAAAAAAAAGATACAGGTACATGTATTAATATATTAAGTTTCGTTGAAAACTTTTGATTAGTAAAATTTTATAGCAGGTGTGACATTAGTTTTGGATCAATCCTCGTGTATACATGTATAAACCTTCAAACTGAATATTGGCTTTGAAAGGTAATCATTCAAAGTCAGTTAAAGTGCCCCAAACAGTTTCAAAAAAACGGCTGAGGATTTTCAACACGGAAAACAAAGGAAATGTTTTAATTTTGATAGAACAATATTCGAATGATCAGAAAACACATATGGTAGCTCTTGAAAGAAGAGATTATATTCAGCACACATATGGA